ACCAACAAAGTGAACGCTGCCGGCCAACATGGCGTTTTCAACCGATGAGGGGGTGCTTCTGCTCAAAGCGGATTGAAATTCGCTCCCACGCTCACTGACGGGTGTACATTTTACTAGTATCCAAGCCGCAGCTTTCAATTCCTATCTCTCTGTTGCACCATAATGGACATTAAGAACTTTTTCTTCCTCCTTTTTTCCAGTCATTTCTACACAAGGAAAAGGAGGCCATTTCAGTTTAAAATATCTCTATTGGTGTGTAAACACCAGACCCGGTGTGGCGGTCTCAGCTGTCTCCCGGTCTCAGCAGTCCCCCTTACCAAATAGGCCCCTATGGTAAAATACGTCATGCCGTCTCTGCGCACAACAACGGGAAAGTCGTCCGTTTAAGTGGCGTGCTGGGCAGCGCAGTCCATGTATGTTGTACGTTGTACGTGACGTGTACCTGTGCTGTACATAGCCCTACATCAGAGATAATAGCACCGCTTATAGTACCGTGCGAGTTAGTCATGCGGACCTTTCAGCACGGAAGACCAACGGGACCGTGCTTGTGTCAGGCTGAAATGTGCGGCTACGACAGGGGGGTCCGCTGAGACCGGGAAACAGCTGAGACCGGCACACCCAGCCAAGGAGCTTTGCAATGACAGAATCTGCCTAAATTAGCTTCAAGGATGCAACTTTGAAATGAGTTGTAACTTTATATTCCAAGGGCGGATCCAGGATTTTCTTCTTAAAGGGGTGTGAAGATCGGGTGATTTTTGTGTGTACGGGGTGGGTATATTTCAACTGTCACCTTTTGGTGAAGCCATTTAATCTCTTTGATTTGTCATAGACCTTTTTAGAGTGGTCTTTCAACCTTTATACATAGGCGCCCCGATCCGTGCCTGTATTCTCTTGTACACATCTAATCAAATGTGTTGCTCACTTTGATTTTTTCAGGTGTTTTTTATGGTATTTGACATTTTCTAATTAATTTCAGAGTGTTTCAGTTTTTATGGGGTAAAGTACTGAACTGAGCTCTACGTTGTCTTCTCACAAGACTGACAAAGCCCTTAAGGTTGAAGTCCGAACTTAAACTTGTCATTTACAAAATTTCTGTTGATTTTTCCACAAGTGGTCCCAAAAGTCACCTTTAGGCATTACCCACGTGCAGTTAACCAGAAAAAAACAAGAGGGCGTAAAATCTATACAATCACGACAACAGGCACTTTCTGCTGGGTTGAATTTAATCTTCACAGTTTACTTACGAAGAATGTTACCCGACGGACCTCTCTCAGGTTAGACAACATAATGCTGATAACAGATATTTTTATGAATTGTCTAATAGCGAGACATTACTAACAGGATCAGCCTTGGCTTTGTGTCATGTTAAAACCTGTTAGTGTGTAATCTACTCTTGTGGTTGAGACATAGCAGATAAACCCAAAAGGGTGTTTCATTTGATTTATTTTTGGAGGCTGAATCCTTGACAGTCAGTATAAGGGCTGTATTTTTCACGAAAAACTCCACAAGGGTTTCGAAAATGTGAGGACCTACCAAAATAACGAGGTGTGCCATTCAAGCAAACCTTGAAGTTGTTTGGGGAAATCGTCTCATGCTTCAATTTGTGTCAGTACTCTGTGGTTTAAAACAGAAATAAGTATTCCCTATCATTCCATTTTACTTTGGGCAATAATTATCAGAGACATTTTTGCAACCAAGCTTGTATAACTATTGTTCATCATGTGACGCTGCCCTAGCGGCATGTACATGTCAATATAGAGAGTTGAAAGTAAGGCATTCAGTTCTGATGACGCAGGACAAGACCTTCCTGTTGCAATACACGAGTATATCCTGCAGCTATCTAAAGAATTCTGACAAAACACATCAAACTTTTAGACGAACAGGAGCTGATTATATTTTGCTTTTAATTTTCATCTCACTATGTTTCAGTGAGTAGTAATACCCTTTCCAGTGCTTCCAAACTACTCCCTTGGCGAACTCGCTCGTCTGCCCACCGAGGTACAAGCCATTCAGGTTGGAGTAGTGACAGGATTTATACCACCAAGCGCCGGAGTATTTCACTGCACAGTGGCCAGATCGTTGCACGTCGTTGTCGCGGTCTTTGGTAGAAAACTGTTGGTTACTGTGGCCATACAGTGAATTACCTGCAATAAATTGGCAAAATAAGAGTCTGGATCAACTGGTAAATAGGAATGTAGAAACCACTTTTTACTGTTTGTCCAAAACTTTTGGTCATCAATAGGCCTATATACTTGTGACGTTACGTATTCGTTTCATGCACACTTTCCTGTGGAGCCAGAGATGGGGCCTTCTGTTCACTGAGCACCATAAGAAAGCACACACGAAAACGAAGTGTGGTGTCATCAGTACAGAGGTCTATTCAATTCCTGCTTGAGTGTTTCCAAACCTAACAGTATATAAAGAAAGAATATCTATGTATGCAATGGTAAGAATTATTTCATGAGGAAACAAATGAAATATTCTATACCATGAGGCGCAACTGAGTGGGATCTAACATGCAATGTTAGACTGGTTTCCGTGTCTACGTTATTTTACGGGTCTTGTTTATATGTTTTTCTTTCTTTGGAGGGAACCATACACTGAAGTTCTATTCAACGGTATCCAGTCAATGGAACAAATAATTCAATTACATATGATTAAAAATCCACCAATCAGATGACAGTGATTTGTAGAGGTATTGAAAATAACACTGATGGGGGCTTACTCATAGCTCAGTTTTCTGGTACAAAGAACTGTGAACTTGGTAACGATTCAAAACTATGTGCACCGTAAAGTGTTCATTGACGTTTGTTTTGGACTGTAGCCTCTGCCCTAGCATTCGATATCATTATGACTGACATACCAGCCGTTCCCGAATAGTCTCCCACTGTCAACCGGTAGTTGTCACTCCCATCAGCAACACGAAACGTGTTGTACAAGGCATACGCAGTGTTCCCTTCGAAGTCCTCGAGATCGACGCGGAGTTTGTACGCGCCCTGAGCGGTGAGTCGATGGAGGTTGTCATTGCCGAGCCAGAACTCGCCGTTCAAATCACCGAATCCCCGGCGGTAACTCTCCCAGTCGCGGTAGAAGTCAACAGAGCCATCTTGACGGCGCTGGAACACCTAAATGTGGCCAAAAACTGGTTTCACAGTTTGCCAGATGAGTAAAATGCACTTGTGAAAAGAATAAGGTCATAGCAAACTTTAAGTGTTAAAGGTGAGTTGTTTAAAAACTACCTGGACACGTCTGACCGAGTACTGGACACGACAGTGACATGGAGCGAGAGTAGTAGATATTCGGGCTTAACAGAATACACAGTGTTGCTGCGAAGTTTGGCTAGCAGGGACTTAAAATATGAATTGCCGCGGGTTATTCTGTCGGTCTTTTTGGTATCATGCTTTATTATAAGCTCTCTTATCCTTTGTTAGAATGAATAGGGATGGGGGCGCTCGTGAAATTCCCCACGAGCGCACCCATTGCTTATAACGTACCGTCCATCCGCCACCGTCTGTCTCCATATCGCAGTACACATCGATCGGACCGTCACCAACCACAGGTTGAACCGTATAGACACCGCTGGTAGTCATACCGTTTGCAAGCACACCAGAACAGTCCTTAGGGATCTCACTGGGACAGGTTGCTGTAGTTCAAATCAACATAACAAGTAAACCAACTATCAACATGATCAGCAGATTCTGAATTTTATAGGAGAAGTCTTGTACCGGACTATGTCTATTAATTCAGTTCATACAGTTCATTTTGAGGCCATATTTTTGTCAACAAGGAGTAATTCAATTCCAGTTTTAACTTTAATTCAGTTGTTTGAATCATGACGAAAATACAGATTACCGAGGCAATTTAGCGAGGATCAATTTTTAAGACGAACAAAAGTAAAAAGAGTCCGAAAGATTTTTAGAAATTCAATTAGAAACCCACCGGTCGCGTTTTTCAGGAGTTCGGCAAACCCTTCGACTGATTCCCTTAAACGGTCGAACTGGAGTCTGACGTTGGTCAAGCTCTGGCAGTCGACACAGTTGGCACTGGAGTTACCACTAACCCTATCGATGGTGAAATCCCCAAACACGAGGAAAGCAAGAAGGACAATCAGCGGACCCGACGTCATGTTGGAAGATTTGTTCAGAGACTCACAGAGGAAAACAGTTGTGAGGTGTTGCTAGTGTCAGACACATTATAAAGACAAAGATAGGAATGCAGACCTAATTCTTTTTTCTATGCATAAACGAATTTGCATTCTCTGTCATGAAGTGATTGGTGCCTACCAATCAAAGTGAAATATCCAGCATTGTGTAATAATGTCCACCAATCGCAGCGATCGAGTGCCCACCATGATGCCGCGTACTTCAACCAATCACAGCGAAGTGGCACTCACAGTGTACCACAATGGAGCGAGCACGTCAGAGCATTGCGCTGTAGGGTCAGATCATATACTGGATTGCAAGAAACTCTCCAAGCGAGACCGACTACAGTTAATTTATTGTTGAGAATTTAATTAACGTAAGCATAATCGTGGTTCATTTGAAATGAACACAGTTTCCCCACCTGTGTCACATCAAACATCTTGACTTTCACGTGATGTCTGACAATTTAATTACACAGTGTTTATGTTGGTCTTGCATGTGGTGTAGCACGGACAAAAACAACAGGAACATTTTTAATGAGATGTGGACTATCTTCCCTGTCTGCTGTTTCTGCCTTCTTTTTAACAATCTTGAAATGGGTTTTGGTAGTTAACATCCATGGGAACTAGCGACTGAAGTAAATGTTTTCTAGCATTAATTTTCAGATGTTGGAATCACGAGGAATCATAACTTTGGGATCAAACAGTTTCAGATGTTCTCATGATGTTTATTGCGTGAAGATACCAGATTTTTACAGCAGTGTACCAAATTCAAGGTTGTTTTGTTTGCTAAGTGAAATTTGAGCAATTGGGACTTTTGTGTAAGGTGTCAAAATATGTGGCCACTGTGTACTATGGGTGCCACAATAATTTCCCTAGAAAGTAAATCGCTCTTCCTGGGAAAATTGACGAACCACTAGTGGATGAAAGGGAATCGATTCCTTTGTATTATTGAGCAAGTTCGATTTTCCTTCCCTCCATCCTCTCCCTTCCCTTTGTCTCTTTCCACGAGTTGCCTTACATTTTGCCATACCTTGCCTTTTGCCCTGACTTTTGCCTTGCCTTACCTTATGCCTTGCCATCTACCTTGACCTTTGCCTTACCTTTTGCCATACCTTGCCTTTTGCCTTGCCTTTTGCCTTGCCCTCTGCCTTGCCTTTTCGCTCTTTTTGCCCCCACCTGCTTCGCAACGCCAATCTATTACATGTATATTTAAAAAGAAAATATGGCAGATAGAATCGAAAAACCGTAAATATCACAAAAAATATCATCAAAGGGTCAAAGTGTTGGACCTATACCTGTTTTTTTCAGTTGGAATAGTGTTCGTGCAGTGGTATAACCTTAGGGACTACGGGGCACCTGCAAGAATAAAATTCGCCAGCAAGACTAAGATTTTCATGCAAGATTAAAATTTTCATGCAAGATTCAAATTTTCATGTAAGCCCAAAGTTTTCTTGCAAGGCCTAAATCTCACGCAAGATCAAATGGGACGTTTTCCGTTGCTCTTTCGTTTGTTCCCACGAAATAAACAAATTGTAATTCGTGGGAACGAACTGGTAAATGGCGATCATCGATTTGTGCTCAATAATCACTCATTCGTATACTCCTCAACTTACTCGACGCACGAGTGCGAATCAGTGCGAACGAAACAGCCACGAAATAGCCACGTGAACAAATTCCAGTCCCTAAGTCCTAATGGACTTCATAAGAAACCTACTTTACACCGAAAAAAACTGTAAGCAAACCACGTGGGCCTGTAAATGACAAGTGAGGCATACTTAATACCGGAAAGTTGAAAAGAAAACTGGTTTTCATGACATGAAAATGAAATCAACGTGTATACGAATGAGTTAACGAGTAGCGCTAGCGCGGCATACGATCGTCAGGTCAAATGTCTTTTACAAATATTCAGACGAACTGAAAGAACGTTTGTTTACAGAAACACAAGCATTGTACGTCTAGCCTGATCATCTTGAGCGCTCCCCTTTATTGTATTTCGTTACAGGCTTGTCGGCCTATACTGTGAACTAAAAAGTCTCATGTTTATCATTTGATATTTTTGAGCATATGGTCTGTCAGTAGCCAACATGTTGGTAAAACATCTATTAGCAGTTCTGAATAATTTTTATGCATTATTCAGACGACGGAACAGGTTTACATTTCAGGAAATAGCACGCAACCTAACCCTTTTAAACCTTCCCTTTGTCTTATTCTGTATATTGTCCCTTATAGCATAATGTGTAACGGTCGTCATCGGATATATTTTTGGAGCAATTATTTATCAGTAGTGCACTGACGGTCAGATGACATTCATGCTATTTTTTCGTTATCAGACCAAGAAGGAATAAGTTTTTGTGTTAGAGAAAACTACGACAATATTTTTGGAGCTACGCCTCATTCATTTCATTTTGAGAACATCAACATGCTTATTTCCTCATGAAAAAACGGAGAAGTTCGTTTAGTGTAACGGTCTCACTTATCTGCCGTGCTCAGGTCTCCTGAAGAATGCACAAGATAACCGAACACCGTCCCACAACCGCCATGGCAGACCAATGTCATAATGGCCGTCAATCAGCCTCGCTGACTCTTCCATGGTTATTCTTACGTTGCTATTCCCAACCGAGTCGCCCCGCTTGTTGTCCATTATAGATCCGCCAAAATCTACCTCCTAAAACCTCTGAAATTGCTGAAGTATCTGGTCAAATTGCACCTTGGCGTGATGGCTCCTAAATCCTGCTCCCTTTTTTCATAAGAGTTGACGTAGGACCAATGAGAATCCATCCAGGTAGTGATCGCACTGCGTGACGTTCCTTACGTCCATCATCCAGAATGCTTCAGGAACGTCTCCGCCAATTAGCTTCTGACTTCATACCTGCTGGAGTGATAGGTAGAGTAATGTTGTTCCTTGTAATTGTCAACGGGCATGGGGCGTGAGGGAGAGTGTAATACCTCCATATGCATCCTGCAACTCCACAATGACTGCTGAGTCTACATCGTCTGGTAACATACCACTTGATGAAGCAGTTGTCACATAGTTTGTTATCCCTGACACATCGTATAGCGCCCCGTAGCTGCGGCGCAAGATATAGAACTTTGCTGTGAATACACATAAAACGTTGTACTCCCATAGGCGCCATTTTAGCAAGGGCTGTGCAATGCACATTAATGCACAGGCGCAGGCACCTCCGTAGGCTAGGTACGTATACTTGGTACTAGGTACTGTATACTATACAGGCCTCCGCCTGTTCATTACCGTGAACCGCACAGGCGTATCGCTTGCTCAAATGCCGCCCATGGTGATTACACCTTTTGGGCAGAGTTATCCATCTTGCGCCTTCGGCGCTATACGAACTTTGGCTTAGAGCGTGAAGACTGGCTGGAATTGGTCGGGCAAGTTTAGCCTTCTACTCTACAAACCATGTTATCTGTGCGAAGCTTATTTCTTGTTTTGACGCTATGGTTGTCAGTGCCTTCCGCGCCCAGTATGCTTGTATTATTATAATAATAATCATTATTCATTGTAGCTGTAAAGGCAAGAGATGCTGTAATTTATCCGAATTGTTCATGTCTGCATTGTATTCCATTTGGGACACTGTTACTTGGCACCTGCAAAACACAAATTCTGTGGTAAGGTGTGCACAGAGAAGTTGGAAACAACTTTCTGCTGCATCTTCGAAAGAAGCATCCTTCAAAATCAGTAGGTTTCACGGTGTAGACTAGGACGCCTGTCAACTCGGTCTGTCATCAACTCGTTCTGAGTCGACCCAGAAATATTGTACAATAAAACATACGTTGTCTGTATTTCCAAAAATAGCCAACTACCAGGCCTTCACAACCGAACTGACAAAAACAAAGAATAACTAACGAAGTCGCGCCCAAGTTAAAAATAAGCAATATTTTCCAAAGGGACAGAGTTGACCTGGGACCGAGTGGACTCGGACCGAGTTGGTTACGGACCGAGTTGACCCTACACCCGTGAACGTACGTGGTTCTTCACGGTCACGGTACTCTCCTGATTCATTTCAAACACTTTCAAAAAGCAGGCATCGCCCGCAAGAGCGTGTCTGTTTGAGTCCCGGAGTGGCAGATATCCTATACAACAGAAAATTCTTGGATATAGTTAATTATATAACAATATCATGAAATGGATATGGTACTAAACAATTTCAGGAAGTATACAGACAGCAAATGGCTTTATACCATTGATTTGAGATACTGATTATCATCATGAGGAATCGTAACAATATGCGAACAAAAGGTTCAAGATATATTTTCATTGTCCATAATACACTGCAAACCTGTGGTGTTAAAATCAACACTTTTTGGTGTTATCATATGACCACACCGTAGGGTGTTATTTTAACTGACACTTTACACACCTATATTATAATGCATTGGAGGGTGTTAAATATCACCAATATTTCTAACACAAGCGAACAGTGTTGGTGTAGTCCTCTGATAACACCAGGGATGCTAAATGTAGCACAAAAACGAGAAAACAAAAATATGTAGGCCTACACTTGATTTTTTGATAACCAGGACATCCTTTATCACTGAACCAAGTACAAGTACAGTGTGGAAGGTCGAAGAATAAACTGGTTTTCATTACTACCAAAATGAAAGCAACATGTGTACCAAAACGATTTGTGCAGCACAGCATCATCGGAGCAAAAAGTTTTGTATAAATATTCAGACGAAGAAGGAAGAGAATTGTTTACAGAAAAACAACCTTTCTAGATAACCACATGTCCTTCAGCACTCCCTTTTGTTTTATTCCGTCATAGTTCAGTTATCCTTTATGTTCATAATCTGATATCTTGGGCCAGATGGTTAGTCGGTAGCGAACGTTCCTGAGTAAATTTTGTTTATTTTCATGCATTACTCATACCAAGGAGCAAGTATACATTTCAGGGGAAAAAACCAACAAGCATAGAACCAAACCTGATCCTTTTGAGCGTTTCCTTTGTGGTGTTCCAATATTGTCCTCAAGGGTATCAGCTCAAAATTTGTGTTGCTCATCATCTCTTGATTATGTTTATGCAGCAAATGATTTGTTAGTACATGTGTAGTGGACTGATATGGCGAACATCCATGATAAAGTTTATACAATCACTCAGGCAAGGACGGAACAACTTTTGAATTTAAAGAAAATACCAGCATATCTTCTCTGCCACTGATCATTCATTACATTGTGGAAAAAAGCTACTTGATATAACTTCAAAATCAAAACACATTAGGAGAGGCTCTTCCAGTGTAATGGAGTTACTCATCCACCATGCTCCGATCTCCGGAACACCATACCCGATGACCGAGTACCTTCCCAAACCGTGCTTAGTTATCCGACGAGAGCTGATCTATTTAAATGCATTTAAAAAAGCACTTTTTAAAGGAACCAGGAAATGAATTGTTTTTGGAAATCGCTTTTTGTGCATCTCTCTACCCTTTTTCCATGTATGAAGACTGTTTAACATCTTTTTTGAGTTTCGTGAACTAAAAGGTGCACTTTTTCAAACAGTTAAAATTGGCCACGCATTTCTGGACAAGTGAGGGCGCTTTTGCTCTGATGTAAATCCAGGAAGACATGGTTCAGGTTGCATGTTTTCTTGTTCAAATTGTGAACCCTAAATTTGCTGTCTGGGAACATTTCTTTGAAAGGGATTTTAGCTGGATTATTGCCATATACTTACACAGCAATAAATTGCCAAATAAAATAAAATCTGCCATAGCAGTGGTTAAAATAATCTAAAGTTTTCTGTGCACAAATCAGTGCAACATTGAGATTCAGGGCCTTGGATGACATCACAGTTCTGCTCGTAAATATGCAAATATACATTAGCTTAAAAACCAAAAAAAATTAAATATGGGTTAAAATTCCAAAACAATAATTTAAAACAAGGTTAATTGAAACCAACTGATGCAATTTCAAAGGTTTTTTAGTAAAATTTATGAAAATTATTTCTATTTCCTGGTTCCTTTAAAGACTTGAAATCATCCATGCTTACTGGACAAAATTACTGCTCAAATTGTGTACCCAGAAGTTGCTTAGTAAAAACACGTCTGAGAAAGAGGTTGCTGTTGCTTGCTTTCGCGCCCTCTAGTGTCCACTTTATATTACTGTGAGTTCAGTTTAGAAATCCTGACTTGACGAATTCTGCCAAACGTTTGTATATTGACAGCCTATGGGCGCATCTGCCAAAAGTGGTAGCAGCCAATCACATTGCCGGACTTGTTTTTACATCGTTCATATCTGCATTATAATGTCTGACTACTTTGATTGGTGAAAACTCCGTATATATTATGCAAGGTCATGCCGTTCGTATGCAATAGACCGTGTTCGCGGCGTCCCCAATTTCATTCGTATTCCCTAACGTAGTGTATTTACTGAAAAACGTTAAATTCATACAACCAGACTATATCCTATGAGTTCATTGCGATCCCCCCAAATCACCTGGTACCAACCCACTAGGGGTTCCAAATTTATATTGTACGTTCAAGAATACGACTGAAATTGGGAACGCCATGAAATACGGTATATCACCGACGGGGGGCAAGTCGGACTTACTGACTGGTGACGTATGGCACACGTTATACAATGAATGCTATCAAATGAGGGCGCCTTGTCGGGGTTATGGAAGTTGCGCTGCCGGGCCGGCCGAGCGCGTACCAACTAAAGGGATGGCCGACCAGGGAATTCGAGAGCAACGTAATTCCGGCTTGATTCAAGTCTAGATTCGAAGTTGCTGCCATGAAAGTTTGTTCCCTGTTAACGATCACCGCTGCAGCGAGACTCAACGCGTCAGTTATTAAAGTTTTTATTTACGGTACCGACTTAATTTAGGGTTTATGCACTCAACTTACAACCATTAAGCAATAATTGACAGAATCAGAATCGATAATGCACGAACTCATTTGAAAAGTACAAGCAAATACTTCTCGCCATTTCTGATCACCCATTACATTGGTGTAACATGTAAGGATAATGCTGCAACTTAGTATATTGCTTCCGCAACTCATTGAGAAACATTCACCACCCTGCAAAACACACCTCGTAAAAGTGGAACTGTGGAGCTTTATACAACATTTTCTCGTCTATGGTGTCCTATAGACGACAAAATTGCATCTTGTCGCCACGACGCGACGGAGTAGTCGTAGCGTTGCGTCGTAGCGCCGGTACATGTACAACGCAACACATTTTTTATATACAATATTAGTACACGTGCATGCAAAATGTTGCCTTTTAAGGTATGGATTAAAGGATAAAGTTTAATTTCCTTTGCTGCATACAGCGATGATCATGACACAGGGCTGCACCGAATACCATTGAATTTTTTTTGTTTTGTTTTGTGGTATTTTTAAAAACATATACTGGACATCAGTATTGATTGATCGATGTAATTCTCACGTAGATCAATAATTCCTTTTTCCTCTATGCGTGTACCAATTTCGGAAACAGAATGATGTTGCAATCCCGTCCCGATGTACACGTTGCTATTTGAAGAAGCTGCAATAAACAAGTCCAAGTCCTCGTCCTCAAACATATCAAGAGAACTAGAAAGGCATTGCCAGTTCCGCCTAAACATGGTGCAGGCCTACTGTACACTGTACATGTACATGTACATAGCTGATTCAACAAGCGAAACGAATAAAATGAATATACCAGTTATTTTGAAGGACTTATACAAGTTTATGCAGCCAGGCGTACACACGCAACTCCGGCAGCTCGTTTCAACATCTGCCTTACGTTGACACTCCATGCACTTTGTACCTACATGTAGCTGGGTACACTTTGCAAGGTTAAATCGTAGAGAATTGGAAAGGACACATCATTATATGTGCTAGCCGTGGCAGGATGGATGCCGACTTTGACTGGAAGATGTATTTCCCGGTACTTCTGAATGCTCTGATGTCTGTGGTGGGTTTCGCCGTGACACTGAGGCTGTTGCCCATGTCTTACGAGCTGTTCTTGAAGGCAGGGCTGAGTGGCCGAGATATGAGCAAAAGGACGCCCCCGGGCGGCAAACCCGTGCAAGTGTAAGTAGCCTCCAGCATGTACGTCCAGGGCCTCTTTTGTATTAAATCAGTAGGACTATAATCAGCACAGTCTTGAATCTGACGCATATTTATCGCGTAGGCTACTCCTTCCACAGTTGATTTGCCTTTGAATGGAATCCGTTAGTGGGCATGGTGGGATTAACCAAGCAACAAACAGACAAAAGCACAAGTAACACTTAGTAACAGTAACAGTCACACTACAGCCTGCTACAGCGAGTTCTGCAGTCAGTAGATTATCTATTTCAACTCCATGGCTGTGGTCTGACTTGTAGTTGGTGTCCACTTTTTGAACAAGGATAATCAGTCGTTTTGTGATCCGCGACATCATGCTTTAGTAATCTTGTGCTGTGATCCATTAAAGCATTACATGTGTCCTTATATTTTATAACTTAGTCAAAAGGGCGGGAGAAAAGACTACACTTTGCAAATGTGTGAACAATTTGGCCTATGAAAAGGAGTTCCCAAACTGAAAAGGCTGATTTACATGTAAGTCATAGCAGGCTGGATGAGTCTGAACACCAAATGTTATTGGCCACCGGCTTGATGGGACACTGAAACCTTTTAAGGCAGTTCACAGTCGTCACATGACATCTGTGCATTAATTAAGCATGTGATGTGTGTGAAAATGTCACCCTAGAACTGCAGAGTTCATCATCGGCCATGCTCCCAGTGGGGTTTGCTGGCCGCGGCACTCCCACAAGCATGGTGGATGACAAACCCCACAGTTCTGCTGTTCCATACATGTCAAATGCACACAGTTCATTTACCGTACATCACACATGCACTGGGCCAGACATGAAAGCAGTCTTTTTAACCCTAATCGCCAAGCATATTGTTTGGCTTGCACTACACAGTCAGACAGTACTACAGAATACTAAGAAGTAGTCTTAGCCTGAAGAACCAAGCACCACAGATTACTACGTCTGGCTAGGTTACTTCCGTTGTTACTTTATAGAGAACAATAAAGCCATACATTCATAGTGCCACAGCACTGTATGGTACATTGTCTTATCTATTGTATCTTATTGCTTCAGAGAACAATAAAGTTATGTCCTGTTACAAGAGACAGGACTGAATACTACATGTTACTACAACTAGTAATTCGTAGTACTATGTAGGGTTAGGGTTAAAGTGTTGAACAGTTGAACAGTTGAGCTTGTTTAGCTAGAGCTCACGATCTCTGCCCTGTTGCTTTACTCCCTGACAGTCCCGAATCCCTCGGGGTGATTGCTGGAGCTATGTTCCTCATCATCATGTTTCTCTTCATACCGGTGCCGTTCTGGACCTCGTGGTGGGCGGCTGAAAACTACGAGGACTTTCCACATCACAGGGTAAATTCAGTGGTTCATCAGACCCACTGGCAGCGGAAGTGGAAAGGGTTGAAGGGGGGAGCTGTTCCACCCCCCCCCAACACTTTCTGACTGAGAGGACTCCCCCACACCTCCCACCCACCCCCCTTTTGGCAGGTCCTACGTTGGGACATGGGGCATAATGGATCAATCTATTAACCCTAACAGTCCCAAATCTTCCAATTTCAATATGATTTTACATACATCCTTGGGGGTTAGGGTTAATGGGTGATGCCTGATGGTCTCAAAGATTGGAATATTGATCTGCCACTGCTGGTCAGACTCAAGTCATGGTAGTTCCCGTCGATGGCACCTTTTCATGTTTGAGGAGGTGTTGCAAATTAGACCAAGCATGTAGACTCCATTCAGGCTGATTGAATTTTCCGCCTTCTTTTCAATTAAATGTTTGGCTGTGACAAAATCCTGCAAAATAGAAGTAAAATATACATGCACGTGTACATGTTTTTACAACAGCTAACGTACAAATGTAGATAAGAAAGAAAGGTTTGAAAGGTACCATTCAAATCAAGGTACTTTGAAATATGCTTTTAGAATGCAATTTTGTAACCAAACAATTCCATTTTTTTTCGTATATCATTGATATTTAACTCCAAACTTTGATTTCGATAATAAATAATTGAATACTGTATTTGATAAACGATCACATGCAGTGCAGTCCTGGACTTCATGTAAGGAAAAGAGATGTTGAGATGAAAGTTGAGGGCCTGTTTGTTTCACATGGATCTGGATCGCGATCAGTGATCCAAACACTGGTTCTCACCATCCATTAGGCGAGTTTTGGTGTCCGAAAACCAGTGACGGATCACTGATTGTGCTCCAGATCCATGTGAAACAAACACAGCCCGAAATTGTATTACTATCATCATAGCCCCAGACTCCATGCAGGAAAAGGAGACAAAAGTTGAGGCACCAATGTAAAAGCAGGCCTTCAGTACACATGACATGTACATACATACCGGGTACATGTACTTGTAGTTGTTTCCAGACCAATTTGATTGGGGGGGGGGCAATGTCTCATATTTGCTGTACACAAAATCAGGTAAGAGATCAGGAAGAAGACATAAAGTCTCCCGAATAAACGGATGATATTTTTGAAAAAGTGTGGTGATGGGGAGGAATGCATGTTGTTGATAAAGATGAATAAGTCGGGACGTGTTTTCCGTCGACAGTTTGTCGAGTTCATCGCGGCGCTGCTCTCCATCTGCTGCATGATATTCCTGGGCTTCGCCGACGACGTTCTGAACCTACGCTGGCGTCACAAACTGCAGCTACCCACCATAGCCACCCTGCCTCTCCTTATGGTCTACATGGTCAACATCGGCTCCACCACCGTGGTGGTACCCAAGCCTCTGGACCAGTTTCTGGGCCCCATCTTCAATCTGGGTAGGTGTGCAGCAGGAGTCGGGTGCCTGCCTGCCCCTCCCGGACTGGGCAGACCAACGTTGCGGGCTGATAAGGACAGCCTGTAAATTTATCATTATTCTGTGATCACATCAAAAGTGCCGAATCAAAAATAACCCTTTTGACGATCCTACTTTGCATGACTTTTCCATTTTCCAATCTGACAATGGGATTCCAACACACCCTATTTTCCAATTCTCTGTTACTTTTCCGTGACTTTCTAGGACAACCATTTTTCCAGGATTTTCCATGGCTGTGGGAACCCTGACTGCCTGCCTGGCTGTCTCCCAGTCTGTAATGCTAAACAACTTTTCTCATTAAAGTGACATTAAATGTCGGGGAAATTATCATATTTACGTGTAACTCCTGAAAAAGTCATGGAATTTGCTGTTCCAATTTCTGTGGGAGCCCCAGTACTGCCACACTTTGCCAGATGAAGCCACGTGCCATTGTAAATTTCATACACAAGGGAGCGAATTTCAGTCACATTTCCCAATCTGTGTTACAGCCTTTTGAATGGCTGTAATACCTTCTGCATGTAATTCTGGTCACCGGATTAGCCTATCCGCCCCGAGCTGAGGTGCACCCCCAACTGGCTAAAGAAAGACAGGTGGTTACAAGTGGGTTCTTGCACGCCTTCTGCATGTACGCAAAGACCATACATGCCGGAATAAACAAGTAACGCGTACTCAGCATGCTCCGCGTCAAATGTGCATGTACTGTACTTGCACGCCTCATGGTGTACCTGCCTGTACATGTACGTGCATGCTGTGAGTACCAAAAACACGCCCTCTTTTGTTCCGCTCGCAGCGGATAATCATCCATAAATACAGTGTTCTGACCAAGAGTCATTTGAATGATATCTGTGTGATATTTCTCATCGCAACTTCCTACTACAGTCATGACAGTCAAGCTTCTTTAATAAGAACGTGCCATATTAATATAACATTCTGCTTTTAACAAGGAAAGTTTTAGGTTGCAATCGTTGGTTCTTGATCATTTTTGTTCCTGATAATACAAAGTTCCTGTTATATTAAGATAATCTGCAAAGTACAAAGTACTGCTTATAAGTTAATGAGGTTTGACTCTATTTCAACTGCCATGGAGGCTGAGTATGTGCTGGGCCGTTAAGTAGTCATGGGCCAAGGCCAGACATGGCAGGTAATATCGCTCTGCAGCATTGTCAACAAAAATGATGATGCAGTAAAAATACTGGACAAACCTGATCAAATGAGCGTCAAGGGTCAGCATTTGTAAATAAAGACCAACTTTGTCAGGAGCTGCGGTCGCGATATCATGTAATTTGGAAAGATGGCATTTTTTTCAACACTGGCTTAATGTTCCATTTTCAAAAATTTGCTTGGCTGTGCAGAGCATGGATTGGATAGACGAAAACCTGTATGTTGTAAAGTTCACTCCCACTGATATGATAACAAAACTGTATTCTTGCCAACTTGACCAAAAATAATATTGTCTAGGACAAATTCATGATTGAGTATTTACCATCAACAATTTTGCTTGTAATTTTGCAGGTGTGCTGTACTATGTCTACATGGGCATGCTGGCAGTCTTCTGCACCAATGCCATCAACATTCTAGCTGGAATTAATGGCATTGAGGCTGGCCAATCCCTCATCATCGGGATCAGTATAATCGTCTTTAATCTCATCCAGTTGACCGGTAGGAATTTTGAATTGGATTTCTCACTGCTTGATTTTCAGAAATATGGGCGGGAAGCAGCTCTTCTCACCAAGATGAGATTGATTTTCGGCATGCTGGGCTCCCATGTATTGTTGAAAATGAAACAGATGATGGGATCAGAGCTTTTTTGGATTCCGATCCTTCTAAGAGATTTTGCACAATTTAGGCGGGTCAGGCCCAAGTGATGTTGCCTTTAAAACTTGAGACTTACTGCTCCAGAAATTAAGACAAAGACAAAAAATGCTCCTATGAAAAATGTTTCAGGATTGCAGAAGTTTTTGTTAGCAAAAATGCCTGGGATGTTAGGTCTCATTAACTTCCTGAACCAGATAATCCCAATAGAAACACCCTTCTGACAAAGCTCATCCCCACGATTTCAAGCAGCATTATAAATGGTTGAATGTTCTAACGATCAATTTTATCCTTGATCGAACACGTTATTAAATTAACAGTCGTTAGTCTCTGTAAATCACTATGCATTGAATTTCTCAGCAAAATTGGGTTGCATCTGACACTGTAGAAAAAAACCATTAAAATGTAATTATAGTTGCAATACAAACCCCTATGAAAAGACATCTTGCTGATGAGGCATTGATAATTCAACAAGCATTTTTTCAACTCAAAACCGTCTCAAAGCCCAGTGTTTATCAAAATGTCTGGAACCTTTTTAAGGTTCAGGATGATTCTTTTGTATTTTTTTAATTGGCTCAGGAGGGTGACACAGTAATGGTTCTTTCACACTCCATTACAATTTCCAGGTAACTATCCGGAAACCAATTTATTCTCGCTGTACTTCATTATTCCATATTGTGCGGTGTGTGCGGCCATCTTGTACCATAATTGGTGAGTCAAATGAAAACGGAGTTGTTTCTTCTTGTCCTGTGCCACTGGCATTAATCTATTTAATGATCCCCAACTACCCAAACTCCAACATTAACCCCAGCAGTCCTCAATCCCTCCAATTTCGAAGTGATTTTTACATTTACACCCTAGGGGGTTAGGGCTTTGTTGTAATCTGTTGGGATGAGTACTGCACTGGTAAACTGGCTGTGTATTACTTGGGATGATTTGACATACCACGAATAAACAGAGTCCAACTGTTAACGTGCACAGGTTACTGCATGGTGTTGAGATTTGCGAGGATGTGGAAGGTTACTTGTAAATCAACCGAGGGAGATAGAGTTTAGGGCAGTTGTCTGCCAGGGAGGAAAGGGGGTATGAGCCCCAAGCTAGACCAAGAGAGGGCTCAATTTCCTAGCAACAGAGGCTCCTTTAGTCAGAGCAACACTTCGCTGGTTCACAAATAAAAAAATACACGTGTTACAGTCGCGGCGCTACCAGCAAAATGAGCACTCTGACCAATGTGGCTCTTTTGAACTAATGAGGGGGTGCTTCTGCTCAAGGCGGATAGGGCCATCAGCTGAAGGAAGTCGCTACCTACATGTATGAGCATAGAGAATACTTGCTTTACAGAGACAGGTCTACCAGCCCAAACCTAATGTTATGTTAATTGCTGGCGTTGGCTGGCTCCTGGGTAGTTTTTGCTCAACGTGTGAAATTTGTTTAAAATCTTTCCTACTGGAAAGTCGCTGCTGCCAGGAGTGGAGGTCACTGTGCACACCAAGGTTAGATGACCAATGCTCACCCCTACCATTTATTTTGGTGACTTCCCAGGTATCCCTCGGCCCTGTTTGTGGGCGACACGTTCTGCTATTTCTCGGGGATGACCTTCGCCGTGGTGGGCATCCTGGGCCACTCCAGCAAGACCATGCTGCTGTTCTTCATCCCTCAAGTCATCAACTTCCTCTACTCCATCCCGCAGCTCTTCCATTTTGTTCCGTGCCCGAGACACCGGCTGCCCAGGTCTGAATTTCTTTTTTCCTTTTTGAGGGAGGGGGAAGGTATGTACATGTACAAGGAGATGGCGTCCAATCTGTGTTTGCAATCCCCTGATTTGTCGTCATCAAAGTGGAAGGGCTCATCAGAATACCTTGTCATGCATGTTCCCTGTAGCCAACGCTAACGTGGTCAAGACTCTAGCAATATTACCAAGGCTGCAAATCTGCAAACAGCAGTCGACTGGTGTTATGTTGTATGTTCCTCTTAGCCAAATGTGTAGTCGTGACGCTTGCAATGTCACAGGGCAAAAATCCGAAATTAATTAACATCTCCCCGACGCAAATCCATCCTTGGAAATAAATGTTACCAATGCTACAAACCTGCAAACCAGCATCCAGGTGACTCGTTCACAGAGAAGCTGCTTACATGTATTCATGACTAAGAGCTTGGGAGCATTGAAAATTGTCTCTGTTTTTTTCAATTGAAGTTGTGTTCAAAGGTTTTTCATATGGACGTGTTAAAAATTTTGTTGCTTTTTAATGCCATTAGGTACAATCCAAAAACGGACAAGCTGGAAATGAGTTACACCAAATTCAAGACAAAAGATTTGAACATACTTGGTAAGCCATTTGAGAAATCACTAAATATCCGCTTATTAAAAACAAGTACCTCTTGACAAAGGTTATTGCGAGTTTAATGTTGATGAAACATCCTCTAAAATTCAGGGTGCAATTTTATGGAATGGACATGTTCAAGATTTGCTAATTTTCTGTGTCAAATGTTGTCCGGATGTCCCTGGAGGTCCATCACAGGCCATCAAGTTGTAAGCCATGTCATGGCGTATTTAAATGAACTATGACACAAGCAGTCCTTTCCTTACGACTGGTCTTGGGCAATGGCTGGTGATGATCTGTGAGATAGCAGCGCTCATTGATCTCTTTACTGACTGGTAGGGTGTCAAGATGGGTGGCTGGGCGCCATCTTTGAGTCCCAAATGACCTCATGGCTTCTAGTAAAGTCTCGCTGGAAGAGTTGAAATCTTGGTCACCATGGACTGTTGTGTAAGAACTTTTCGTGTGTCAGGCCTTTTCATGTGGACTTACCTTTATTTATGCTATTAGGGTATCCACTCCAAGCAGGACTTAGAGAGGGCGCAATTTTTTTAACCAAGAAAGGCTACTTTGGCGGGAACAGCCTTTAACTGGTTCACAAACGACTATGTAATGCATGTGTCCAGGTCCCTTTGCTTTCGAAAATGAATACTCCCCATTAACGTGGCTCTTTTCAACCATTGAGGGAGTGCTCCTGCTCAAGATGGAGATAAAGACGAACTTTTTATGTCTTCAAAGTACAAATTATTTAGTTTTTGCACAACACTCCTTCATATTTCTTAAAAACTTGAAAATTACATATTGTTACTCTGCATGGAATGTGTGATTGAGCTATGAAGGCCTCATTTGTTTATGCGTGACAAAATCCAGTCAGCAGAGAGATCGGTCGCTCTGTTTAATACTGAACATGGAGCTCGCCTCAATGCCAACCTCATCCCCAGGGATTAGTTTAGTTTCACTTCAATTTCGTAGTAACCCCCGGCAGCGCAATTTGTTCATGCATCTTGATGCGATACAGCAGTAGGGAAGGGTTAATTTACATCTTGCACTTGGTGTTATTATTTCAGTGTGAAGTACACGTTCATGGGTAATTCCAGATGTTAGGGGTCCAAAAGTGTGACATTTTCGTGTCCCTGTTACATCTGACCTTTGTTATTTGACATGGAAATATCACCAGAATTGATTTCAAGCCTATCTCTCTGTGTTTGGCAGGTAATTTGCATTCATTCATCACTCTTGGAAATTAGAAAATGTGTGTGTTCTGAACTTACAAAATCTTATGTATGATGTGACAGGGACACGAAAAATAATGGACCCCTAATTTCTGGAATGACCCACATGTACTTGTTTTATTTTGAAGTTTCCTCATGAATTATCACTTGGACTTCGCCTCAAAGACGGTGCTTCATTTTAACCATTTTGTTTATGTTGATTCGAAATGTAATATTTCAAATTGGATGGATAGGAATTTAAGTTGAAAAGTTGGGTTTTACTCCTCAACACTCTGCTGAATTGACCTTGTTTTATACCAGAATTTATACCAGAACTAAACATACAAAAGCGAATGTTAATTTTGACGTACTGCCTGGCACCAGACTACTCCTAACTAACATACTTGTACAAAATGTTTGAGCATGCAAATGATGCGGTATCAGTGGGACAGCAGATCGTTGTGGGGGGCATTCTTCTGGACACCTTGGGAACAACATTTGCATTTGTACCTGTCAGGTATCTTGTATGCCTTGTATCTTACTCACAGGCAGGCTGGCCATTGGGGTCTTTGGGGCATTTCGGCTGATCGACATTAAACAGGGCGTCGGCGAGAACAAGGAGTACACAGAATGTAACAACTTCACCCTGATCAATTTTGTGCTGCGAGTGATTGGTCCCACCCGCGAACCGAGACTCACCACCTACATGCTGATCATTCAGGTAGACTGGGAGGAAATGTATACCAAATTATTTAACTCACACACAGGTCCTTGTCATTTGATTGGTGGAGCTCACATCATGTGACATTCATTGTTGCTGCCATTTATGGCTGGGCTCAAGAAGTTCCATTCACCCACATGGAATGGGACCTACCATTCCATAGCGAGGAACACCCTTGTTCCCATAGCTTTTAAGCAGTCAACCTTCACTGATTCTGAACAGCAGAGTGTCATAGACCAGAACCTGGGGAAAAGGTTGTGACCTGATTCATGCTGCTTGACCAGCACACACAATCATGGTGGTGATGTCAACAAATATGCCAACATTTGTGTGTCCATTTCTGACTGTCAGTGGTGCTTAAGACCTGCACGTGAAAGCTGATGATGGACAGGCTACCTTTACACCCTGGTTTGAGTATGTTGATGCTGTGGAAAGAACCCGACTAATTTTTATCTGGATGGATGCAGACTAAAAAGTATGGCTGCCTTTGAATCACTTGGCTAAGGCTTGTAATCACACACAGCTCTATGGGAACTGGCTGTGGCCATTGCCATAGACTCGTGCATCAGTTCTAGCCACAGCCAAGTAATTCAGAAGAGAGGAACCCCAAAGAGATAGTAGTCTCAGAGATGGCTTTTAGTATTAGTAAGTGCTCATATAGTTGAACTCCAAGATGCCTGTGTCTGGCAGTGCTCCAGAACAGGACTTTTCTTTTATGAAAAGAGGCTCAGAAATGTTGACAATTTGTATAAATGTAACAGTTCCTTGTGTTCTTGCAGATCTTGGGAAGTCTTGTAGCCTTTGCCATCCGCTACCAACTAGCCAGGGTCTTCTACGACGTTGTTGAGTGAAGAAATGATGTACACCCTAACAGGAAAATGTGAAACATATGCAAACTACCAGAGAGTGCCAGATGTATTTCCATTAGATCAACTGGCTGCGGCTAGCATTAACACACCATTGTATGGGAAGTGGCTACTGCGGCTAGCCAGTAACTATTCAACCAAATGTATGTTATTTCCAGCCGTAGCCATAATGTTTGGACACAGCCATTGGCTGACCTTTCCCCTTTTGTTCAGATACTGCATGCATCCATTTTAGGGATGTTACATGCATTTTACCACAGCACCTGCAAACAGTACTCACATATTTATATTCAAAAGTGCTGCTTCCTGTTGAAGGCTATACACATTTCTGGCATGTCGGTAGGGGTGATCGTTGGAATGGATTTCACCCTTTCATATTAAAAAAGAGTAGACACATGTCGTAAGATACAAATCTGATATTTATATGACATGCTTCTCAAGTTCATGTACATTTGTTTCACCGATGTAGTGTAGACATGGCTTTGTTTCTTATGTGGTGAAGAAAACTCCGGCAAAGCGCTGCTTTTTCTCCCACTTTGATAACTCCTCTGAGTTAGAAGAGCTGCCGGAACGCATCAACGTTTGAGCTATGTGATGTTTAGTTCTGGATTTTTGCTTTCCAGTTTTCGGGATTTATTTACCTGGAAGTCATGTTTTGGGGTTTGTTTTTTTTTTTTTGAGGTTTCAACAGTCCTGCATTGCTTCAGTTTTCAACTCTGGAGAAACAACCACATTCAAGATGCCTGTAGTTACAAGCTGTGTGTGAGAGAACTCATGTTTTGTCGGCTTTTAGAAGTCCCGAAAAGTCCCCCCGTGCTATTGTTACAGTCATAATCCCTCTGTTGGTTTTGTTCATGGCTCCTCCTACATCCCCTAGTCTCATCCAGCACGAGTTGACCCTCATTATCATATGACTAATTACTGTCAAAAATTAAAAATTCTGAGAAGAGCTGGCTCCCCTTTTGAGATAGGAATCACATTTCAAAATGTTTGTCAGTAGTAATGCATAACTCATTAAGATTTTTGTAAGATTACGTGTAACTGGAACACATGAAATTGGTATCCAAGTAACAATTTTTTGTACAGCTTATAGTGCATTGTGATATTTTTACCATAAAATGAAGGTTTATTCCAATTATGCACCCCAAAATTATGTAAATAGAGTCTGCTGTTTTGCCTTTTGCCCAAATGTTTAATTGTCGAAGTTACTTGCTGCAGTCATTTTGGGGCGCCTTAGGGCTGTATTCAACATCAAAGCACACCAAAATCAGACTTTTCCAATCAAACTTGGTGTGGGAAAAAGTAATCACTTTATTTATGCATTAATGTCGTGGCTGCTAATTTGAAAGATGCCCTTTGCTGATATGGAAAATGTCGACAATTGATTAAAATGGGTATTTACTTTGTAACATTGTCAACAAGTAGATTGTGAAATGTTTCATTTCTGGTATTAAGATCTTAATAATTTTGTTTTGGGATCTAATAAAAGTTAAAATCCAGACAGTTTTTATGTGCCATATTATGAAAGTAACACTTTGTACAATTGATACTCCTTTCTGTTTGGCCCTACTAGTTTCACAAAGTAATTTATAATTTCAGTAATATTTTTGAAAATCTGTAAAGATCTCGACAAATAAAATTGTATTTAAAGTTATGTACATATTTTTCCTTGTGGTATGTTTTTAGAGATCATTACATCTTTCCGCCTTTGAATTTATAATCTTTGAATATTTATCCCAATAGCTGTGCCTGTTCAGTCCCACAAAATCTGACCTTATCATTTATCGTTCTCGAGTAATTATCCGCATAATAAGCGGATCATTAATTGGTAATAGCGCCCTCTTTAGTTCAACTCCTGGAGAATTTTCTGTGTTAACGGGACTGCAGGAGCCTGAAGTACAGTGTGCATGTACACTACGTTGTAAGTTACTCGTAAGAACAAGTGTGAGGAAGCATGTTTCTTCCTGGAAAGAAGAAGACGACATGTGCGCAAAACGACTTCTCTCGTGGAACAAAACTACCCCGTTGTCAATCACGATGCACGTTTTTGAGAGTACAAAACTAGCTACATGTACAGATTTGCGATACTTGCCTGCCAAAATTCTCTTTCTGTTGAGGGCGCTCTATGAATAAAAGCTGTGACTGATAAAAACGCAACGGCGGATACATCTACCACAACCAGAGTAGCGAATCCGACTGTTAGATGTACAACCGGTACCAATTGTAACTTTGACGGGGAAAGATTTCAAATAGCTTTCTTGCAGCAATGTTTCAAGTAATTCAGAAAAAAAATAATTAAGTTCACTCTATCACGAGATCATGAACCGCCCACCTTCAAGAAACGGATGCGCAGTGTCTACGTCGCTCCAATTCTAATTTCACCAATGTAATCGTGTAATTAAATTAATTTAAAGAGATTATGCTCCAAATTAACTAACTTGATTTTGGCACTCTTTCTTTACTGATTGAATTACCATTATAACTTTTTCAGATGTCTTTTTACTGCCTTTTTTATATTACCAATAATGAAATTAATTAAGACACAGAACATCCTAAACATGGAGGAAAAAATCCTGGGAGAATATCGCGTTAAAGGTCCTGTATAATTTGGGGTCCCAACGGTTCTGCGTCCCTGCTACATCTGACCTGTTTAGTATGACCATGTGTTCCTTCCTCCATGACACTGGGAACATCGATGAAATTGACTTCAAAATATTATCATTATTTGTTTGGGTGTGATTTTCATCACTTGGAAATTACAGAAAATATTAGGAAAGTTATATAAATCATAATATAATATGTATATTTTTTATAATTATTTCAGATATGATAGGGATACGAAAAATAGAACCAGACTGAGATGATAAAAACCGCGGAGGCCAGTTAAAAGACCCTTTATGCTGCTGTTTATTTGTACCGGTATCAATATACACAACGCGCGTGCTGCTGTATGTAATTTATGCTGCTAGCTGTACACGTACACTGGGCTGCATGCCGTATGTCCACATCGACCATCAGCGGAGCGCATCTCTCATGCCATATTATAAACTGACTGGAATGTCAAGCTCGCGACGTCTTTGCAAGGTTTTTTTTTTCTTCACCAACAAAAGCTCATCAAAAATGCCAGTGTGACAGCTCCAAGGCCTGAAGACGTCTCCCCGGGATATTAAACGATCTCCCCGTGTATACAGTTTCATCTGAGCGGTTTGTTGTTTTGGCCAAATATGTCATCCGAGCAAGGAGCAGATACTCACAGCGACGACCTCGGCCGGCATGTGTGGACGCACGGCAGTGAATGGCTCAACAAAATGGCCGGCCTGACGGCGTACTTTCTGGCGGCGCTCCAGTCGGGAGAAATCGACATTTTGAACGTTCTGCTCATCTTTTGGTTTGTGCTGGCGGGGCTGGTGGTAGCCACGGTGTCATGGTACGACTCCATGAGGAGAACCAAGGGCCAGAAAGTTGCTGCGGGTGGCAGGGAAGGCGGGGACGGGGCCGCCCGCGGAAGTCCGGGAAGGGCCGGCCGGAGCGAGGCATCACCGGGCCTGTCGCCCGGCGCAACCGGGGACGCTGGTGCCGAGACGTGCCGGTGGTTGAACTCGGTCGTTGCTTGGATGTATATGCACCAGTCGCAGGCACCTGGACAGTTATTAACAGCCTGGTTAAAGGCACTAAATGAGCAGACAAGAAAAAGAGGGGTAGGTATTTAAAGGCCTCTCCAGCAGTATTAACTTTATAGTCTGTCAGTAGAGGTGCAGATCACAACACAGGGACTGTCCCTGAATATGGAGAAGTCCCTTTATTTTGGGACAAAATCAGTCCCCCAAAACAGAGAGTTTCCTGCAAGGCCTAAATGGGGCCAATTTTTTTTTAAGTGGGCTTGGAGATCCTACCATTGCCCAGGGGATTCATTTATTGCCATAGGCCTAATTAGATTCAGCAGAAAAAAACACCCAGGGCTGACGTTAAAAAAAAAATCTTACCGTTTACGTTTAGGATTATGAGCAAGAGTATGCAATGTAGCATAAAGGGTGGGGAAAAGACTATATCAGAATAATTTTTTCCAAATATCCATCCTTTACGTATACTCAATCGAGTAGCATGGCACAGAGTTTATAAAAAACAATTTGAATATCTTAAATGGATGGAAAATGCGGGAGAAAAAAAAATGATAATAGTGCATGGATATTTTTGACCCAAGGCCACTTGGGAAAAGGTCCCCTTTTATGGGGACATTCTCTTTTGGGGGGGGACTGGTGTTGTCCCCATATAAAGGGAATTCTCCAAATCCAGGGACAGTCCCTGAGTTGTGATCTGCGCCTCTACTCTCTGTAGCCTGTTGGCAATCGTAGTGACATTGTCATTGTCAAGGATGTCGGGATAAGACTAGGCCTACCTGTACATTTGGGTCAGCTCTCATGACAGTTGACATCCCGCTGAATGTAAAACAATGCCAAGTATGACAAATAAATTGTTAAGGACCTACATGTACATCTACAGCTAAGTCTGCATCTGCCCTTGTGCCTGATGTACACGTAGTAGGCCCTACATGTACTGTAGATGAATGTTTATATTTTCATTAATCAGTTTGTAGCACCTTCTTGTATTCAGTCTGAGTTAAACTTGAACCAGAACCCTATCAATCACCTCTTTTAACGTTTGGACATGGTCCTAGTATCACAATTTGTCGGGTCCTGTAGTTACATGTACCATGGTTACTCGGACGAGCAGCACCTATTGTGGTAGGGTTAGTACCATCTCAATTTGCCAATGATACACTCTTTACATGTACGTCAAGTCCAACATTAATTTGTTACATGTATGCACAGACTGTGGTTCCTGTCTCCAATGCTGCAGATTGGTGCAGTAGAGGTAAATAGCAACCAGTCTAAAGTGCCATATAGGTAACTGCAGCAATGTCAGCCTTTTGATTGCGCAGCTGTGCATTTTGTAGCAAAACCTTTTACGTGTATTGTACTGATGAACTTTCTGCCAACTATGGCTCCCTACACCAGCACTGGTAGGCAAAAGAGAAAGTGCTACATGTACATGAATTCTTGGTAAACACATCAGGAGGCCCTCCCCTGTCCAAGTGGAAGCATTGTGCCACCCACGCAGCATGAACAAAAACCTGGTGGGGGGGGGTTGGCACAGATATCCCTCCAGTTTTGGAACAGGGATGGGTCATTTATAAGATCACCCCCCCCATTTTCTTGTGCTAAGTAAAGATAACAATTGTTTATTATCACCCATGTGCTCTCAGACAGACAGTCAGAGTAAAAAGGCCACTTGATAATGCATCTCACTTTAGTTTAGAGTTGGATTCAGAAATAGACAGATTATAGGAAATACACTACATTCAGATGAATGATTAGGGTGATTTTTCAGTTTATACTGATTTGCAGACTGGACTACTGGCCTGTACACTGTAAACCTTCAGTTCATTCGTTCTTTATTTGCATACAGTACATGCACCAGTACGTACATACGTGTACATGTACATGTAGGCGCATTACAATAATGATCATGAACAGTTCTTATAAATTGCATTTTTATAAAGTCTCCATGCGCTGTATTATCATTATCCTTGCACATTGGACTCACAACTGAATGTTCCTGAAAAATCTCAGCTCGCTGGGGAGTCTAATGCTTCCATATCAGATGCAAATGGCTAAACATACCAGTATACTACGGCTAAACATACTGGTACACTACTGAAAAAAAGTTAAGGACCCATTTTTTCTTAATTTGTAATTTTTTTCTGAGTAAAATATCTCATATAAAAAGAGTATACATGTACACAAAATACCAAACCACATCTGCCCTCAAAGGTACATGTACCCATTTACTCCTGGGTGGAGAGGGACACATAGGGGTAAAGTGATTTGCCCAAGATCACAACATGCTGCCACCAGCTGGATTCGAACCCCTGACCCAATGATCAGACGCTACAAGCCCTATTAAACCACTAGGCCACATGCCATGCCTAATTTACATGTATCTTCATACGGTAGCGGGCTGTCATAGTGTCGGAAATATGCATGGCTCCTACAAAAAACAATTTTATGAGGGGATGGTGTCTGAGGGATACCCATGGCAGTGTCACATGGTTCTCAGTCTCCTCACCCACCATTGCTGGTCACTTCCCAACCCCTCCTGCCACTCAACAACACAAATTTATGCTACTGCCGCGCAGGAGCAAGAGATGGCATGTTTTTACACAGCAACAATGTCCCCTTAGTGGAAACTCCCCTGGGTGGAACTCTCCATCTTGACAGGTTAATGCGTACCTGCCTTAGGAGGCCGCCAAGCACACACGGTCAGTTTCTGTCAGAAGACATGTATACATCCGGTGTAAAAATTTACTTTGTTCAGATCTCTCATGTTTTTTGTCCGTTGTTCTTGCATCACGTGTGAGATGGTCTCGCTGTGTATTCCTCTGTCCCTTTGCATTTGACCAGTTTAATAAAAAAAATATCTTGCTAAACAGTTTTTAAAGAGTCCATTTTAAAAGAGACAATCCTCATCCGAATCTAATTCCTGCTGTCAAATGCTAACAGTCAGAGACTGTTGCTCTGCAGAAGGTCCTGCATGTACATGTAGTGCATGCATAAAAAAAAGGAAATCCATGTTCAGAATCCTGCAGGAAACCCAAACTTTTCACCTACATGTAGAGTGGAGACCGCATACAAATGTACATGTATTATTATTAAATTTCCTTTTCTACCTGTAAGTCAGTCCCATGCAAACAAGATGATGGACAGTTGGGCAGGGCTGCACGAGCAGTCCTGCCCTTTCGTACATGTACATGTACTGTACATGTACATTGTACCATACATGTACCTTGTTCAGGATTTGGATGTTCAGAAATCATTTGAAAATAAATGAGATGTATTCAGTGTGATAGTTAACAATGTACATGTACATACAGTGTAGGAGCCCAACTGGTATTGTGCTTGTTACATGTACACTGTAGTTGTTGACACATGTAATACATGTTCCGGTACATGTACATGTAGTACTTCGGCATGTTGCACACAGCCTACCCCATGTACCAGTATACACTCACTGATTGTTAAATGCACCTGGTGCAGTGCTAATGAAGGCCCATTACTTGCTGAGTCAGGCACCCATACTGTACGTGTACATGTACATCATGAAGCAAATAACAAGTACAGGTACCATTATGCCGCTGCCCAGGCGCGGCCTGGATGTTGTTTGTCGATTGTCTGTCAGCTCCCAGATCTGCCCAACCAACCTAATGGATGATAATTGAGTTGTGTCATTTACATGCAAATGAGTGCCCAGTTGTCGGTGGGCAAGGCAGTCATATTGCACGCACAAATGTACATGTACATCAGACTGCTCTATGCATAATTGGTCTCCCTGTTATTTTCCATTCATCTTCTGTGCGTTAATACATAATCAATATTATGAGTAAGCGTACTGAACGATAACAATGGAGAACAGAATAATGGGTGAAATCCTCAATTTCGAATTTTGTTATAAAGACTTGTTCGCAGGTTATTTGGACAACACAGTGCTGCTTTTTTTGACTAAAACTGCCATTGGTATGAGGAAAACATTTTTGTCCGTGCTTCTAACTTCTCAATAAAAGAAAAAAACAAAAAATAAATGCCCGCTTAAAATTAATGCCAAAAAGTCCTACCCATGATTGTGTACAGTAACAGTGCTTTGTTACCTGGTTATGGGGGCTACACACGTTGACTATGGAGGTCAAATTTCTGTCTTTACAGTGCGGTTCACACTAGGAAATTGTCCCTTAAGACTGTGGAGGCAGGTCTACCCTGCGCCATTTAAATTTTTTTACACTTTAAGGACAATTGAATTAAATGGAACTTCCAATTTTTGTCAATCTTTTTTATAACAATTCATTGCAAGTTTACCAGTATGTTCAGTGAGTTTGCTAGTTTTCAATTTTAATTTCAAAGCTAGATTTTTTTCAAAATTCTTTCTCTTTTGGCTGCCCTCACTTTTGTTTGTTATTCTGAGTTTTCTCAAAAGATTTTAAAAACATTTGTTTTACTTCTGCTACGTCCATGCACATGGGGTCTGTTTCACATTCCACAACCATGCTAATGAAATTTGTATGCGTACATTGTTACGCACGTGTATCTTTTTTCAGAGTACTTGTACAGGTACATGTATTTGCATGTGATCGCTCATGAGTCTATGCACCGGCACTCCTGAGTCTCAACTTGAAAACTATTCACCAAAAGGCAACCATGCATTTCTTTGTGGAAAAAAGGTGTTTCCAGATGAGCGTGTTCCAGATGAGTGTATTCCAGATGAGTGTGTTCCAGATGAGTGTGTTCCAGATGAGTGTGAACCCAGATGAGTGTGTTCCAGATGAGTGTGTTCAGTTGAGTGTGAACCAGATGAGTGTTTTCCAGATGAGTGTGTTCTAAATGAATGTGAACCCAGATGAGTGTGTTCCAGATGAGTGTGAACCCAGTTGAGTGTGTTTTCCAGATGAGTGTTTTCCAGATTAGTGTGTTCTAAATGAGTGTAAACCCAGATGAGTGTGAACCCAGATGGGTGTGTTCCAGATGAGTGTGTTCCAGATGAGTGTGTTCCAGATGAGTGTGAACCCAGATGAGTGTGTTTCAGATGAGAGTGAACCCAGATGAGCGTGTTCCAGATGAGTGTGTTCCAGAAGAGTGTGTTCAAAAACAACAGCCTTAATTTTTCTTTTGTGAGTGAAAATACCGGTGTGCACGTCTTACATGTAAAAGCCCTGACAATTCACACACAAACTGCACAAAGTTGTCTATTCAGTCAAAATTAGTCAAAGACATGATATGTACATGTAGGCCTACATTAGTACAATGTATGTTTGGTAGTACCGATAAATGAAGCAGAAGGCAGCAATCGGCTGTCTGTGACCCAGGGTTTCGGCCAGCATGTGAAAATTGAACTCAAGTTTGCCTTGATTTGAAAAAGTGAAACAGTGCCCAATTGTTGCTGAAGTTTAAATCTGCTTTTACAGGCTTGTTTTTACATGTCCAAAAGGGTGAAAAATGTGACGCCTAGACACCAGCACGCCTTCATACATACATGTACAAAACATGTACATGTACACATATCGGTACGTGTTTATGTACCGCATCCTGTACATTAAGGCCTGCAAATACTCGGTATGAAAGCAAACTTGCTTTTGTGATGTCAGATCAATTATTCCTGGGAATTTCACATTTCAAATGGAGTGAAATAAGCAGCAGATGTTTCATAATGTCAAAGTTGCTTCACTTTCACATTTGCCTGAAGTACATGCAAACCGGCCTTAATTTCTCAGTAATGTATCCATTTGCATTAGCAACAGGAAACTGCACTTTTGAAATGTGTCGAGTTGCTCTCTACTGTCTACACTGAAAGTACATGTATGTACTGCATTAATAAACCATACGGTTGAATTTGAAGTTGCATGACATATACCTGGGGATTTTCAAGAGTTTCCTTTTTCAAAATTCGTCAAAAATTCATAGCTTCATTTACTGGACGTTTACACCCACACAAATAACTGTCTTGTGGCTACTCTAATCTGACAGACAGCATCTATTGATACGAGTCCGGGTATTTCAGCCGGGCCTGCCTCCTTGTAAAGAGAGCTGAGATTGTGCGTTAATTTTGTTTTCTTCCTGAACTGGCCCAGTGATTAGCGTGCAGCAGTATTGTATCGCTCTCCCCTGGAGTGCTTTTGTCCCCGATGGTAATCCGCTTGCACTGAATGTCACAAACAGTGGTATAATCATTCAAAACAATGATGGATTTCCTCTGCAAAATATTGACAACTGAAAAAATGTTGGCAATTCCTAGCAGCTCGGTCTTTTGTTCCGAGTGCAGTCTTTGTTACTAGGCCCAGCTCTTTTGTCAGATCTCGGGCAGCCCGGCTATGTGTACATACATGTACAAACCCTAGGAGTTCGGATCCAGAAACCGCAGCAGCAAGTGGTTAAAACCCCAACCCGCCTCAATCCTCCAAAATCCTCCGGGTAGTTTTGGAGGATTTTGGAGGATTGAGGATGAATGCTGATTAAAAGCTGGAAAAGTTTGGAGAATTGAGGATGAAAGGTGAACGAAGTACATGTATGTACATGTACTAAAAATTGGTCACATAGTGGTGCATATGGTGACACATTATAATGTTTACTTACCAATACATGTGCCCAAGGACAATGTGTTCCATTGTTCACTGCTACTGGTCATGAATTACACAGTCCTCAACTGCAGTGTGTTAAAACAAAGGTATACATGTATGTCTGCTTTGTTCATTACAAAAATAAAGCCGTCAGCCAACTCTGCAAAAAAATAGCTTCAGCCCAGCATCCAGATGGCTTGAAGCCAGTCACATGACCTGATGCCAGTCACATGGTCTGAAGCCAGTCATATTTCCTGAAGCAGAAATTTAGGCATGCAGGTTTTCAGGCAAAAAAAGCCTGATTTCAGGCTTTTTTTCATTGAAAATGTTGGGTTTGTATTTCGGCTTCCCTGGCCTTTATGGCTGTTGATTTAACATCTCTGCCAAAAGGTCCAATGCAAAGTACCAGTAGCGAGTGTCCTTTTTCCCCACATTTTCTTTTGTTATAAATGCTAATATCTATTGAAGGCCAGATTTAATGGCCCCATACTCTTACCGACGAGGATCTACAGTAGTATAATTTTAAGGGGATAGAAGTTGCTATCTGAACCTCTGTCAACTCACTTTGAAAAAAGATAAGCTGGTCACACTGCAGATTTGAAAACCACTCAGAAAACTCATGAAAAGATACCGTACTTCCGATCTTCAGGTAGAGTGCCGGTAGGCACTGTCTTATGCACCTTAAGGTGTAAAAAAAACTGTAATGCTGTTGTTTCTTCTTTCCTTTTGCAGAGTTCTGTTCAGGTGACATTTGACCGGCTGAAGGCAGGCAGCCTACCTCCTAAATTTAGTGCAATCCGAGCTGAGGCTGGCCCCAGAGATCTGCTGGTAAGTGATTCAGCGGTCGCTCTGTGCGTTAATAGTAGAGGGTGTTGTAACAGCGAATAATTGGGGGATTTTAACCAAATCTCTTCAAGAGCTGTTCGAGTTAAAAATGTGCATGCTGAATTTAATGAGAGTTGTCATGAATACTGTGTTCATACACCTTCAGATTTTTGTTCTAATAATTTCTGATACCGACAAAATCCCCCCCCCAAAATACCGAAAGTTTTCTTCCCTACTTGTCATTTTGCCTCCACCCTGAAAAACTCCCAACAAATACCGGTATAACAGCCATTCTTCCTTCTTATCACTAAGTCTAGAACAGTTCCAGGTACATGTAACCATGGTAACTGTATACGAGGAAATTAACATGTACATGTATACTTAATATAATTTGCTTCCGTCTTGTTTAGAAGAGAGTCACATGTACACCCTCCTTCCTCCATGTACATTAAGTGTACATTTACATGTACACTTAACTTTCTGGCACACATGCCCAACGTGTGCTGATTGAGTAACCAGTTTTCCACGGACAGTACATACATGTACACTGTACATGTACACATGCACATTTATGCATCTTCTTTCTGTGACCGCTTCATTTCTGAAGTCTGCATGCGCATGTGCGTGCAAAACTTCTGCGTGTCTCTTTCCAAAAGGGAGAAGAAAAACTCTACGCATACATACTTGATAGTTTAGTGATAGGAAGTTGCAGCTGTTGCGTTCACTTATCATTGCCCTGGCAGGAGATAGGCTCACATCGTCATTTATTTAAGACCGTGCACATTACACTTTCTTGTATCCCAGCTGGGGAGTCATCAGCCAGTAATAAGATGAAATCTCCCCAGGTTGTGATGAGAGATTGGAATCAAATAACGATGAAGCCAACTATCTTGACGTGAAAATCTGGCAAAAGTACAAATATGGGAAATGTCAGAAAAGCTGGTTTTCAGGTTTTAGGATCGGGAATGTCCTTCGTCAGTCTTAAACGTGCGTTTAAGACCAGCTCAGGAGAATGGACGTGACTGGGCATTGCCAGCATTTGTTCTCCTGAGCAAGGTCTTAAACATCAATTAGTTTAAGACTGGCTGTAAGTAGATATTTATTCCCATTCATCATGTTCATAAATACCTTTTTATTCAGAAAGTTACATGTAAAAGAAGTCAACGTACGGATTTCCAACAATTTTGTTCAAAAACCAGTTTTCATTTTTCCGCACACCACTCTCCATTTTATGGTTTCTTTTGAAAGTTGTCCAAGACAATCCCTTTCAATGGACGTGGTGCGCGCGTAGTGCATGGCGTGCACCCAGACTCCTGACCAATCATACCGGATTAAACTGTCTCATATCCATGTGCCAGCGCATGATTCATGCAGTGGGCATTGTCATTTCTAAGCGGGCATTATCAAATGCTAATACACGGTCACGTGATGCGTTTCAACCAATAGGAATAGAAAAACTGTCCCAGGTATGAATAGTTATTAAATAGGTAATGATAGAGTGGATATTTTCCCACAGTTCCATGTGAGGAGTGTTATTAGGAGGCATTGGATAATTTGCTTGAGTCAAGTGTTCACAGGAGTCACTGCGGTGAATTTGTCTTTGGAACATGTTTTGCGCCACTTTCAAACTACCGGTTTCTGATATCTCTCCGGTTACCATGGTTATTCTCTCTGAAAAATGCACATTTTCAAAATTACTATATTTTACATTTACAGGCTATTTCTTAGAAATGAAGACATTTCTGCGACGTCATTGCAAGACGAGACGGTTCATTTCGGTGGTTTTCCATTCAAATTCTAAACCTTAAAGTGCTCACTGAAAATAATTAAGTAGACTTTCCTCATTGGCTTGCTGTCTTGAACCAGAATGAGCAACAGATCACCGAAGCTAATAAATTTACAGCAAAAAGATTTCTGCCTGGAATGACATCACGTTTTTGCTCATGTACATGTGCATGTATGTTGTTGCATGCAGGTACAGGTACATGCACATTATGCACATCAAAGTTTATGTTTTTAAACTACATACTGTACTGCATGTGCACAGACTTTGACCTAACTGGAGATCATGCCACAGATTTGTGATTGCAGCAGACCCATCGCACAGGTACATGTACAAACTTGTACCCTGTATGTACCTGTGCATGTACCCTGTACCCTGTATGTACATTTACATGTATGTACATGTACATGTTTGTGTGCATGTGTATTGTACAAAGTGTGCAGTGTATATGTACAGATGTGCACTGTACTGGTTCGTTGGGCAAAGTGATAGAAATTTATTGGTTCCCCCCCCCCACACTTAGCATTTTCCATTGCTGTTTCCACGGCAACTTGCTCAATTGTGGGTGTCCACTAGAAAATTGCCTGTATGGTACCCTGTACATGTACTGTACATGTATACCAGTATTGTATGCTGGCTGATCTATTGTAGCTCATTTCATGATACATGTACATGTACAAATATTACGAAGTGCATACAATATAAATACAAAGTGTAAAAAGAAAGAAAATCCATTCCATGTATTTACAAAAACTGCACATGTGCATCGGACAGATTGTCCCCAGTTTCATTTTCGAGGGAGTTTCCACTTTTTTTAAACAATGTTCCAGTGAAGTCGTAGAGTGTACTGCGATTTAAATGTACATGTGAAGATGGAAAATTTTATTGGAGTGTCTAAGTTGTAAATTACAATGTACATGTACACGTGCATGTACATGTAAAGTAGTGATGAAAATTGTGGTTTACACTCATTATGTACAAGGCAACCTATATGTAGGGTACCGGGTAGCAGTATACCGGTAAATTTTAGTTGTTACATGTACTGGCAGGCCTCGAAATAGTGCTGGTGAAGCGTACAAATTCTAGCTAAAATTGCTCTGGGCTACCTAAATTTGGTTCCTTGGTTGCCCAATGGGCTTGTGGAAAAATTCCGAATAAGCCAACCTGTTAAAATGTAGATCAAAATAAATACATGTATTCAATATAAATCAATCTATCAATATAAATACCAGAAAGTAAGCAAAAAGTGGCAATTTTTGCCTAACGTAAGCAACCCAAATGAGGGGAAAGCTGGAGCAAAGAGGTAATTTTGTTCCCAACTCCGTTACCAGTGAATCAAGTGATGTTTAACTAATAGCCTTTTATTTTCTGAAATGTCAGATGCGTTATTCGTGAGCTGATAACAAATTTGGGATTTTAAATTTTTTATATACATGTACTGGTACGGGCTAGTAAAACTCTAAACAGGCTAATAAAATATCCAGTTAACTTGCCCAGTGGGCGAGCCAGGAAAAAAAGTTAGCGCAAGGCCTGACTGGTACATTCGTCTTTGCATGTTTTGTAACCCTCATTTTTCTTAGGTAAACATACATGTACATGTACATACATGTAGATGTACCGTGATTTTAGGCATTGCCTGGTCACGCATTGGGTGTCTTTCCGATACTATCTCGTGAAGTGTTCATAAATGTACATGCACATGTACCAGTATGTTTGGATCTGACCCATCCTGATTTGAGCAACACTTTTTTTCATGGGGAAGGGGGGGGGAGTTGTCTGACAAAGGCTTCTGGGGTCAATAGAGGGTTTGCAGGGGTGCCATCTTGTTCTTGTAGGCCAGTGCTTTTGTTCCATGGTGTATTCACAAAGGAGGTTTTCCTGTGGCACTGAAGAACAGCTCTGCAAGATACATGTAGCTATATGTATTGTGCAAAGCCCTTACAAGGGTGAAAATTGAGGTGTATTTTTGAATGCTTGTAAAAAACCATCCATAAATTGGTCCATACCTTCCATACTATTTAGGATAGATATGAAACCTCCTGCTGAATTGTGTACAGAACCGGTACATGTACATGTACCATACAGGTACATGTACAATGTGGGTCTAGGCATTCACTGCGTTTAGGGGACAGGTTCGTTTGTTAGGGAAATTTGAACTGAGTTGTGGTGACATTTCTGAGTTCCCACAATGTGTTTGGTCCCCACAAAATAGGTGAAATGTCCAGTGTGTGTCCAAACAAATGTGGCGTGGGAGGTTATTTACATGTACATGTACACTGTACGTGTATGTACGGTACATACATTGTATATGTGTGCAATGCATTACTTCATGACATCACTGTGATTGGGACATCATCAGGTACATGTACCCTACATGTTCTAAATGTACATGTACATGTATCAAATTACCGGTATATGTTGTATGTTACATACCGGTACATGTACATGTAGGATCTACATGTAACTTTAACTTTTGAATTGAATGAGGTAGCACTTTTAGAGTCGTAGTACTGTAGACCATTGCTTGAGCAGCATCACTGATTGCAACAAACAAGTTGCTTGATCGCAACTTCCAGGGTGACCGGAAGTGCAATGATATGGGGTTATAACTGAAAAAGAGAAGATTTTCCTACACCCAACCAGACCCTAAGCTGTTAAAAGTTTTATTCTGAGCTCTACAGTTTGGATTGCTGACGTCACAACATGAAGGGAAAACCTCTTGTGGCCAATCACATTTATTTTGACATTTGAGATGTGTTTGCTGTTGAACGTGTAGATGTACATGTTCAAAAGTCACCTTTTCATCAACTCAGTGGCCCTGTCAGACTGTTATTTTCTCTCAGGTCCATTTCAGGGATCTTGCTGCGTGACTCTGGTACACTAACTCTGTTTATTTTGTGCATGCCCCATTTCCATGCTCATGATTTCTGCCAACCTCGGCACGGATACACGTAGCATTGTGATCCAGTGGTATGTTGCCTACATTTTTATATTGCATGGCGCTTTTCCCTGTGGTGGTGCTGTGTGTGTGGCTCCCAGACATGCTTGGCATGCTTGATGGTGGAAGGAATAGCTTGCATGTGTGACATTAGCATCGGTGGAGTAGCCAAGCTGATAAACAACCCTGCTGCTTCTGTCTGCCCTGGATCTACCGGTACATTTACACTGTACATGTACATGTACGCAAATCTGGGAGTGGCTTATGAAATATGGCCGTTGCACAAAAGTGCGCCACCAAGAGTTTGGAACGCGTTGGCCAATCACAATGCGCGAAATTTGTCGACCCAATGCACGTTTGAAAAGGGTCAACAAATTTTGTGCGTTACGATTGGCCAACGTGTTGCAAACTCTTGGTGGCGCACTATTGTGAGTGGCCCGTATTAGTAGGGGATTGGACAGAAGATGAGCCACAGCCTTGTACTTGAGTTATGAGACTCACCATGTGACGTGTTCTTCATAAAATGGACCAAAAGGCAACTCCGGATGTCATTTTTCAAAACTTCTACAAGAGTGACTTTGATCGTGTAAAATACAAATTAGCACCTTCATAAAAATGATTAATTGGGTAAATTTTATTCGCTAGGATTTCAACAGGTTGTTCACGTCCGTCAAAAATGCTGACGTTCGAGACTTTAACTAATTAACTCCAATTAAGTTGAAAAATGGACACTGTCATTGTTGTCCCTGATACCAATATCAGCCATGACTTCCCTTATTACATTAGACATAAGGAATTAATTCACTGCTGTTCTCCTCCGGAAAAATGAACCCCCAAAGTTGAACATTATCTGATGGTCCATACTTTTAGAATCTGCGGTGGGCACTCAACTTTTCACATGTAGTGATGTATTGATGTACATGTACATTTACTGTATAGTGGGTTTGTCGTAAGGAGTCGACCATCAGTTCAGCAATGTACATGTACCACAGGGATTCGATTTGTCAAGAATTTTGCCAATTTCAGTTTAAAAATCAATTTTGGCTGATTTTTACTCTGGCTTTTTCTCCTAATTTGAACTTGTAACGTCAGGATCAGAAAATGAACTATAAGTTGTATACATGTACATTGTACCATACGCATTACAATGTGGCTTTTATGATATTTACATGTACCGGTAGCATTTAGCATTCCCCATGCACATGGAAAACCATTGTTTCCCGTCCTTTTACCGGTGGTAGTAATTGCTTTATTTTCCAATTGATCATTTGGACAGAATAATAGCTGAAGACCTCAATGTGGAATTGAATTTCGTTTTTATTTCTTCCTGTGACGTTGCCTCTTAAAAAAAAATGGGTTATTCAGAAAAACATAAAAAAAGTAGCTTAACCAATTCATTGTTTCTGCTTCTGCATGATTCCTTGTTTGTCACCTGTTCACATTCCTCCAACTGCGACGGTGACATAAATCTCGGGAAGCTGGTCCATCCTCAGTGACCCCTGACCTTTTGCAACCCCCTTGCGTTCTCTGCCTGGCAGGCAAGGCCATTCATAACGGCTGATCATCTCGTAATGCGATCTGGGTGACTTACCAGTGTAACGTACATGTACATGTACACGTAATAAACGCTGATCAGCAAGATTGCACGAATGCATAAATGTACGGTCGTACATGTACATGTACATGTATTACAATTGTACACATGTACATGTATTACACTTGTACACAAGTACATGTACATGTATTACACTTGTGCACAAGTACATGTACATGTACATGTATTACACTTGTACACAAGTACATGTACATGTACATGTATTACACTTGTACACAAGTACATGTATTACACTTGTACACAAGTACAGTGCATGTACATGTATTACACTTGTACACAAGTACATGTACATGTACATGTATTACACTTGTACACAAGTACATGTACATGTATTACACTTGTACACAAGTACATGTACATGTATTACACTTGTACACAAGTACATGTACATGTACATGTATGCATGCACATACAAATTAATTATACATGTACATATTGTACATGTACATGTGTTGTGATCAAGGTGCATCTCACCCCTCCTTCCTTCTCCCCTGCAATGTTGGTTCATGCAGTGCATGTACTGTTAAGTTGTGCAAGTTGTATTTTTCATCATACGGTACATTAACATCGCACAGAGTTTTTAGGTATTTTTTGCACTACCGGTACATGTAGGGCCTACAGTATGTATAACTCCTCTCAAAACGGGCCCTGGAAACGCTTTTATATGGATGGGGAGGAAAAGTGACAAAAGCCATGCTGTAGTTGGACATCTTCTCTCACCAGAATCTTGCAGTGACTCGCTACATGAACATTTTTTAGTGTAGATCTTCTGTGCATTCCAACGTTGATCCCACACATGCTAAAAGGATAGAGTGGCTTCAAGATGTTACCAGGTACAAATTTGGCAGTGGAAGCCATCAGTGTGGCACTACTGTAAGGCTTTGTTCCTTTTGCACAACAGACTTGACTGATTTCCCGTTTGTAAGCGTGCTCTGCTCCTGCAAATAATGATCCAAATGCATTCACATCATCTGCAGTATTCTCTAACCTACATGTACCAGGGGCCTGGTGACCCACTAATTTAAAATCCGGCTATCAGGTTTGAAATAATTTGGTGCATCACCTGGGAGTATTTTCTCTTACACCAAAGTATGTCAATAAAAAATTGTGTTTATGAATATGTCTAAATTGCTAAAATTACGAAACCTTCAAAATACTCAAAGGATACATGTAACTCTAAGATGCCCAGAAATGGTGTTTACCATTTTTGGGGGGGAGGGAGAAGGGATGGTAGGGGAGTCCTTGTGGGTCTTGAAACCAGTGGTTAGGATGCCCCTCCCCCCAAGTGTCAATATTAGTATTGGTTTCCACCGCGCTTATCCGCCTTGAGCAGAAGCATCCTCCCCTCCCCCTTAGTCAGTTGACAGGAGCTATGTTGGTCGGGAGTTTTCATTTTGCTGATAGCGAAGCGACCGTAATATGTGCATTTCCTAGTCGTTCGTGAACCAGCTGAGTGCAGTTCCAACCAAAGGAGCGTCTGTTGCTAGGGAAATTGCACCTTCTCTTGGACCAGTTCGTGGCTCATTATTCAGAAATTAGAAAACACTAAATTTGCGTTTGAGGGATCCTGTAGGAAAATTTACACGCAGTGAACTTTCAGGTACAAAGCTGGATATCAAATCTTACAGTGCACATGGTGTATATGTACGTACGTGTACGTGTACATACATGTATGCACTGGTACATGTATGTACATGCATACATTGTACATGTCCATGTTCAGGCAGGTGTGCACAGTGCCTAGATCATTCCTGTTCCAACTCTGTCTTCCACATTTCTCACACTAACAACATTGACAATGATTGCTATACATGTACACTGTACATCCGTTGTCATCCTTACGTGTGTTCTGTTTGTCTTGCAGACTGTCACATGCCAAGTAGAGGCCACTGGTGTGGCATTTGTCATCTTTGCCACCCAGCAGACAGCCAGCAGCGTCAAGCTTTCGACCTGCGATGTGGCGATCGAGAAACTGATTGGGAAGGTTGGTACCCGGTAGTTGGCTTCTCTATTTCTTGTATTGTTGTAGATATACCAACCACCTTAAAGGCCCAATTTTAGAGCGGAAGTTTCCACGACAGGTTTCATTTGCTCAGCAAAAACCAGCAGGGAACCAAACGCATGCATTGTGCATTATGTGGTATGTTGGCCGGAACCAGTTTTTGCCGCGGAACTACTGCTGAGCCAGTTTCGCAGTAGCTGCTTGATGGTCAGCCAAAGAGGCTGTGCCCCTTGTGTTGACACATTTCTAGGCATGGGTTCCCTTCAATAATCACGTTGGTTGGTAATCTTGAGCAATAAACTGACACCACGGATTCCCGCATTAAAAGGACCTGTTTGTTTTACACGGATTCAGATCTCAGTCAGTGATCCCAATGCAGGTTCACTCTATCCTTTAGGCGGGTTCTGGTGTCAGTGAACCAACGACAGATCACTGATTGAGATTTGGATCTGTGTGAAACAAACAGACCCCTAGATAACAGGCCAATTTCATACAGTGTCATAGAGCTGCTTAAGCACAAAATTTGCTTAAGCGGGAAAAAACTTTGCATTAATGAATAAAGGTTACCAGCTCAAACTCCGATTGTCATGCTAACCAAAAAAGCCAGCTAAATACAATTCCAAAACAATGGAGTTTCAGCTGGTTACCTGATTTATCAAATAAGGTTTTTTCGCGCTTAAGCAAATTTTGTGCTTAAGCAGCTCTATGAAATTGGCCCCTGCAGGACATGAAAAGGTCCATGTCTTTAGAAGGTCCATGTCATTACAGTTTCTGTACATTGTGCATCCAACCAGTACTTAATTAGGAGACAGGTTTGATTCACATGGATCTGGATCGCAATCAGTGATCCCAAAGCTGGTTTGCAGTATCCGTTGGGTGGGATCTGGTGTCAGTGAACCAATGACGGATCACTGATCGCGATCTGAATCCGGGTGAAACAAACAGGCCCGACATTTAAGCAGGTGCAGTGTACATGTACATGTTCATGTGTACCCATACATTTACATTGTAAATGGTACATATTCATGTATCGTGCATGTACATATATTTTCTACCAATAAATTAAATTCATCTGTTCCTAATACACAGGAAACTTGAACAGGTAGTTTAATTACTGTACATGGAGCATGATTTTCATTTGATTACTTCTACAGTTACACGTGTACCGTGCCGGTGTATACCCGGTACCAGTACATGTACCTGGTATCCATTATTATTTTAGCACAATTAACACCTGTTTCGATTGTCTGTTTGCACGCTACGTACACATGTAGCTCCAATTACAGGTATGTTTTGCCTTGTGAAGCTTGTCACACACTACTAATATTATTACTGATGTGATTGCATGTACGTACCTGGTGGTGTTATACATGTAGGCAGTGTGCTGGTACCCTGCAGTTGATTTCACAGACCGGTGCACAACTTATGCGTAAGACTTTTGCAGTGATTCTGGTTCTGGTTTGCAGTTAGCAGTTTACTTCAACGTGTACAACTGATTTTGTAAATTTTAGCCCAACAGATCTAGAAAAGGTACACACATTGTAAATGTTTCGCGTGTGTATTGTATTGTTGTATTGCGCTCGATATGATGTGATGCACAAATGGTGCAGTAAGAGCACGTGTACGGTACCCCGTTAGGTACATACCAGAACATGTACAAAATGTATTTAGACAGTCCATGTACCATACATGTATGTGCACCTGTGCACAGTGTATTGTACGTGTATGTATACAGCTGCTGTTAAAACCTATCTGATGAAATCGGCTGCTGGGCTGCAAGTTGAAGCTACCGTATTTGCTCTTATGGCATGTTTTCTGTCAATTGTGTCAGTACGTTCTGTATGTTACCGGTACACACGGGTACATCATGTATTCATACAGAGCATGTGCATACATACATGTATAAGTTTGCGTGCATGTACTGTATGTGCAAGACCCTGTCATCACTGTATCGGTACGTGTACATGTATGTATGTTACAGTATATGATTTTGCATGTGCTCGTGTTTGCATGTGGTTGGTGGAAAGGTTCCCGAAACTAGGTCTCTAAAAGTGTTTGTACAACTTTTAAAAGTCTTTGCAGGACTTTGTTTTGAGAAAGAGCATACATTTTGCATGTGCTTTTGGTAGATTTTGCATGGATTGAGCAGCTGTAACCATACTGCTGGCGATAAACAGCTACAATATTGTTGAATGATGTTGGCTTCTATGGAATTCTTGCAGCAACCTTGTTGGCAATGCATCCTGTGCAGGTGGTCGGCTTCCACTTCATTCGTACCGCATGATAACATTATAATTCAGATGCAGCAACTTTCTGATGTAGAAAATTTTACATAATGTATTAAATTCAACTGCTGTGGCCTTGCTTGTGCTGGGATTCTTTGTTATAATCAATATCAGTACTCTGCAACCTCACTGGCATTGGATTCTCTTGAATTCAACCGCTGCAACCTTTGCTGTACTGCATGTTTTTTCTTTTTTTTTGCTACATGTACGGTACTGTTGGATTCTGTAGAATTCAACTGTTGGATTTTTTACAATCCGCAGCTTCAACGTTGCTCAGTGGGGATTCTCTGAATTTAACAGCTGCAACCTATTTGGAATTCAACAGCTTCAACCTTGCTGATGTTGAATTCTTTAAAAATCAACACTGCAGGAAAACTGTTGTTGGATTCTATATAGAATGCAAAACCTGCAACCTCCCCGGGAGTCCGTGTAATTTAATATCTGCAACCTCCTTGGTCCTTACATTTTAGATGTCAATCTGTAAACTTCTGGAGTAGGATTCAGTGATTCAGCCGGCACAGCTCCAGCATTTGGTTCCAAGTTCTGGATTCAGTTGGACTGGATAGCTGTACATGTCTGTACACTCATTGCTGTTGTTCATTTCTGAGGGAGTCAGTGGGCCTTTAAGTTGGTTGCATTAAGGATCAAGAAGTCACATTAGTTTTTCCATTAATTAAGGGTCAAGAAGTATAGTTTTGCCATGATCCGAGCGTCAGGAAGTCATATTAATTTGCCTTAATATAGGGCCAGAGGGTCAAAGCAATAAAACCACAGTTTGTTTGGAAGTTTTTATTGTTTTGCTTGTACATGTACATGTACTTGGTACCAATATACATGTACCAGTATTTTTTCCTTGCCAACTACCGATATGTACTGGTAACATGTAGGAGCCTGCTAATATTCAGAGCCCTAAAACATGTAAAAAGCTTGCACATGTACATGCATACATTGTTTGTGAGAAAAATACTCGTCCAAACATGAAGCCCAAAGGTGTGCTAAAATGCATTGATCCCACCAACTCTTGACTCATCTACTGTGAATTGTTGCCTTGGCAACTCCCATTACCCATGCTCAAGGTAGCCATCCTTAATGGCTGATCTGGACTCGGATTCACAGGTGTTAACAACGGTTCTTATTCCACAAACAATGCCATTTATAGTTGGCTACCCTGGCTGATCAATGCGTGAGCAGCTGCTTTAATTCCAGCTCCTCGGTGATTTATGCAGGCTTTGCTGTGCATGTACCGGTACACGTAATTTTGCAAGCTTTTGGGGGATCATCTGCAGTACTGACATGCTGTAGCAATATTTGTTCAGTTGAAATAAGTGAAGATCCTGTATGTTGTTCCATTCGTGAGTTATCGGTAAATAATCCATTTGTAATTGATATAACTTTTTTGTTAAAATCCTGTTGAAATCATTGTGTTCAGCTTGAAGGCATCTGCTCTCGTGAAAAAGGCCACTGAATATCTTTCTTTGTTTTAGTGAAAATGTGAAATATTACATAACCCCCCCCGGATGTTGGTGCTTGTTATAAATGAAATGTCCTCTAGTGCACTGTACATGTACCGGTACATGTACAGTACCATACAAGTACCGTAGTTCATGCATGAAGAACGTACATGTACATGTAGGGCATGCTGTTTTTTAATTGAAGAACGCAAGGAACCCTTCTCTTCCCTAAATGAGTATGCACTATGAGCACATTTAGAAATTTGACTGCACATCAGATTTGTGCATACTGGTTTACATGTGCATGTGTACATGAACATACATGTATGAAGCCATTTTTTTTTTTCTACAAGTCGCAAATCATTCTTGCACAGTTCGAATCACAAGTCGATTCTTTTCCAAGTCAGATTACCGGTACAAGTCATTTTCTCCCAAGTCAAATAACAAGGCATTTTGTTCAAGTACATGTAATGTCCATTACCGGTAGCCTCTGGTCAAGAATACAGCGATTCAAGCTGCCGGTGGTCAGCAACACCGATAAATGTACCATAGGTGAACAGCTGCAAATTTGTTTCTACAGTATTTTGGTCGCTCGCCTGCTTGGAGCACTTTAATTGCTAGCTTTTTTTTTTGCCCATCGAGCTCAGTGGGTCTCAGCCAGCTTGATGAATAATCGGGCTTAAATTCCCACCTTGGCTTCTGAGCCAAATGCTGCATGTACATGTACCGGTACTCACAAGCAAACACTCAGTGTTTGCACTGCGCTGTTCATAAGCCCGACACATCTCATCTCTTTTCTCTGTCCCCGGTCTTGTCTGTTGATTCTGTTGTTCATGGCAACCACGTAATTTGCTTCGTGCATGCACCGGTCAGTACATATTGTGCTTGCAACAGGCGGAATATTTGACGTACATGTACATGTATACTGCAACTGTGGCTACTGTGCATGTACTACTAAAAATATAATATCATTTGACATCATTTGACACATGTACATGCATTTACATGTACATATATGTACTAGTACATGTATACATATTATGTCATTTGACATGGTATGTTCAATATGGTATGTTCATGTTGACATGGTATATTCAATATCATTTGCCAAAGCCACATAAAACAGTGTTTTTTGCTAGGTCTTGCTGAAAACCACAACATCTGAATCAGTATGCAGATTTCAACTGGAAAAAAAAAAACTGATCAAAAGTCCATGCGCTGGCTTTACCTCGGATAAGTAAACAACACGACTTAACTCTTTCCCTGCGCAAGTCAGTACATTCATGGATGTTTCCAGGAGCAAAGATTTCAGTGATACATGTACATGCATTTGTGTGAGTGTGGGATGATGGGGGTTATGGGTAGATTTATGCTACCGGTACATACATGTACGTGTACACTGTACATGTATAACTCTAAATACATGTACATGTACCAGTAGCTACAGTTTTACCAACTCCGGGTTTTTTTCGAGCAGGCCCTGTGGCATCTCTGGTATTTGTACTGTAATCTCTCTTTAAAACTAGTGACTTTCTGTGTGCCTTTTCCTGTTCACCTGGTGTGCATCAAGGCATGCCTTGTGGGCAGCCATTGCGGCATTATAACCAAACCGGATGTTTGCTCTTGTCCTGTCACCCCAGGTGCAATGTAAAGTGCAGTGCCTCTCGGACGAGCTGCTGCAGGTCAATGCGGCGTTCGAGAGCAAGCCAGATCTGTCTCTGACCGTCCGACCGCAGACGTCTAGCAAGGTATAGTAAGTGATGCGTTTGCAGTGGAACCCCTCAGAGTGCCTTGACCCCCTCCAGTGGCATATGGTACAATGTACATGTAGCATCAGTGGGGGGGGAGGTATTTCATATACATTTACCATTTACAGTATATAACCCTCTCCAGATTTTGTAAAAAATAAAGTGCTCTTTTTCCCTCGTACATAGTACCACATTCTTCAAAAAAACCCTTGTTTTCCCTTCACTGTTCACTGATGTTGGGCAAAATTTTGCGGCTGTGAAGAGCGCCATTTATTGTTCGATGCTGTCACCTTGGAACAGCGCCACCCCCTTCCCTGCTTTCAGTTTTACAGAGTTTGGTGACGGGCATAAAACGGTGCAGTTTACCTTTCACCGCCCGGATGCCGAGTGCCAGTTCTCACCAGCTACACGTACCATCCCCCACTCAAATAACCTTTGCTAAACTGCCTTGTGTGGCCTTATCCTTTTGTGTAACACCACGCGCAGCCTTAATACTACACCGTAAAAGGGGAACAGCAAGTTTTGCCTTGCCTTTGTATAAAAAAGCAGGGCACCAAGGCAATTGTCAAAATTATCAAAGGGCTTTAAGGCAATAGTTCAATTATTGCATAGGGCAGCAAGGCAGTTTTGCAAAATGGGACATTATTAAAAAAAAGATGTAAATAACATATTTTGACTGAAATAAAAAGTATGTAGACTGTAGCCTTTTCTGTTTCCTTGATTAAAGGTTAGATTTTATTACTGGTAATCAACAGATGAACCTGTTTTTACAGTGGCTGTGAAATGAAAATAATGGAGAAATACAGCGACAAACTTTCAACACCAACGCTCAAAAAAATTGCAATATTTTGACATCGCCTGGTTTCCAATCTCAGCGTACTTGTTTAATACATTTCTGGGGTCGTTAACAGACTGAGAAATTTTGCGTTCGTCTGAACAAGTTAGAAAACTATTTTTTCACTGAAATAATTTCTCCCCAGGAAGAGTTGTTTGGTGAATGGATAACTGCTAGGTAAAAATTCTTTCAGAAAGGCTTGCTTGATCTTTCTTATGTTTATTGTAGGCCTAACGTTACAGGAAGCGGGCACTAAACTACACCATCGCCGAAACAAACATGATCGTGGCTCACCCAAGAAATGCATCCAGTTTTCTGCATTTTGTTGCAGCTACACAGAGTTGGATCTTTTTTTAATTTTTGAGCTGCCCTGCATAAGACATCTCAAACTTGAAGTTGGAGCACGACACTTTTAATCTTGTTCATTCGGTGGGCTAGCAAAAGTACAGTGGTCTGGGTAGAGACTCGAACCTAAGCACATCATGCGTGATAGTTTAGTCCGAGCCATGCCATTTGTTAGCTGGTCGTGCAAGCGAATGCCTATTGAAAATGACACTTCAATTTAGTGCAGACACCAGCGAAAGTTAGCAACCGACGCGTGCTGCGCTGTGCACTTTCTCCAGTGAATCACTTACGCGTGTTTTACAGCTGTACACTGTACATAATAGGGCCTACACGTGTGGAGGTACAATTGTCACTGTACATAATGTTTTGACATCACAAAACAAAGATGAGCTTTTCTAAAAATACAGCCGCCAGTCGCCGGTGTTGTCAGGACTCGAAGGTACGACAGCAGTGCTCTGGAAAGGTGCGGCAAATCTTTGCCGTGAAACTGGGCATTTTTGGAAGGCATCATGGCAATGGCTGAGGGCATCGATGGAATGTGCCGTCATGTAATATCAGGGCTGACACCACGCGCATACACTTATGAACCTTGTAAATACGTACATTTTCAATGTATGTAGCAATTATTTCAAGGATGGATTTGCGCCAGGGAGATTTTGGATTTTTGCCCTGCCCGACGTCTATTTGAACATTGTATGCTCAGTGTATGCCCCAGAAGGCTTGTGAAAAAACTACAAGCGTACTCGGGTGGGACTTGAACCCACTCAAAAATGTTTAAACCTGAATTTAGTGTGTCCAGAAAACACACATTAAAACCTTCCAAATTGTTACATTTATAAATGGAATGTTACCAATTGAATATTGGTACGGGGGGGTGTACATCTACATGTACGTGTAGATGTCAACTGTAACATGCTCCACATGGCTTAAAAAGAAATTACCTCAAATGCAGCTGATGCACTGTTTGGTGAAGAAGTCTTCTCTATAATAGCTTGAAAGACATCAGTGCTCCTGGAATATATTTTAATATTCATGCTTCTTGAAAAAGTTGGAAAATAGCCCAACTATTCCCTCTCGTCGGAAAGTCGCTCAGGTTTCTAAATGCAGTGGTTCATCACCCTATTGTGTGGTTTGGCCACTCTTAGTACAAACGGCCCCACAAGAAACCACTCTGTTCCATGTGTTTGTACAACATGGAGTTTGCATTACCACTTGTCTGGGTGTACATGTAAATGGGCCCTTAGGCATGTAAAAGTACCGTAAATGTACGCGTAGATCGGAACATTGTCGAAAACTTTATTTCCCAGTCAGTTTGATCTTGAACTGTGTTGTACTGTATGTATTTAAATTAGCATGTTTGCTTAAATGTGATAGCTTTTTTTCCTTGTGTCCTGACAGAACGACCCGGTGGATTTGCTGCTGGTCGAGGAGATTGTCCGTGGGGCCATCATGGGGGCAATGACCTGCGTTGACCTCTCCACCAAAACGGTACCCCGAGAGGTACTGACACCCACAATTGGCCCCATCAGTATGTCGCAGCGTTCGGCGTTCCATCAGCCCCCAGTATGTATGGTGTGTTTGAATACATGTACATGTAGGTCTTTGGTTCAAGTTGGCTGTCTTGTAGTTGATAAACTTCTCCCTCATCCATATTTCCCTCAAACAAAACAGTCAGGCTTTGCCAGAATTTGTTCATCAGCGTTAGGTTGAACAAATAAATTGATCTGGATGGGATGTAGACCCGCAATCTCTGGAATGCTACCCTGGCATTCAATCAGCTGAGCTTTCCAGGCCTGAGCTGGCATTCTCCCAATCTGTTACTAATGACATTGCATGTTGGATGTTGTGGCTGACAATCAAGCCGTGCAAGTCATGTCACGGTTGAAGCGGACAGTGCTGCAGATATGGGAAATGGCACAGGGGGATCATCAGGGAGAATGTCAGACTGTTAAATGGAAAGCCACTGTCCAAATTGCCTGGCTGTGGCTGTGGATGAAGTGTGCCTATGAGAGTCGGTGGCTAGTGGCTGCCGTCATCTCCCATAAGTATCTGTATTTGTCCCACCACAGCCAGTTGATTTGGACCAGGCCTTAATCATCAAACCTTAACAGCTCTCCATTGGAGGACTGGGGACTGTTTAGACAAATTTGGATTGAGGAATGCAGTTGGAGATGCAAAAACCACTTAAACCTGGCGGCACGCGTCAGTCCTGAACACTTGTGCTCAGTTTGACGAAAATCTTTACAGTGAACCTATGCAGTCACCTGTATATATACATGTACATGTATTCACTACAACTTTTTAAATGTTACTTCTCAGCATGAAACAGAAATTAGCACCCAAAGCTTATGACACTCCATGTATATTAGGGACACAGTAAGGGTTAAGAGGAATCCAAAAACGAAGTTGTTCTCTTTTTACCAAGCAACATGGAACAGCCTGTTGTCATTTCTTTGAAGGTTTTGACGGGTAAACAATGTTCTCAATCAGCCAGTTGGGTATTCAAAATGAAGCGCGTCCGAATTCATTCGGACGTGTTTCATTTTTGTTTCCATTTCTGTTTTATTGCGATGTGTTTGTGGCACCTGTACATGTACCTGTGCTTTTTAACGTGTGTTCTAACAGTGTGCTGTTGGTGTCTCTTGCTTTCCTGCTACGTACTAAATGTCTGCAGTCGACATATAGCTCTTATAGTGGCCGTTGTTCCATCAGGGTATGTATTGCCGAATATAGCTGAGGAGAGGCCTCAACCTCAGAGCGTAGGTAGAGGGCTGTGCTCGGTGCCGGCTGACTTTACGTTGGGTGCATTGATGCTTGCGAGAGGTTCATACATTCCTATTGATGAGGTGCAGTGGAGCTTCTTGGTTCATGCGTTTTTCCTTGTTCTTGTAGGCTAATACCAGGTTCTTTTATTCTGTAGCAATGCAGTTCTCACTTCATTTGAACCTCAAAAGCTTCAGCCTGTCTTCCTCAATGCTCGGGCTTATATAACACAACATAGATGGGTGTACACGTTACTAGTTATGCTACTTATGACAGGTCTTAAGGGGGCTACTCATATGAGGCTTTTATTCTTGCTCAATGTACACCTCAGTGGAAATGAGACTGGCGCATGAGTCAGTCCGAGATGTTCAAATACGGAGTACTCTGATTTATCTTGTGTCTCAGAAAACCTATCGAAGGTTTTCATAGCACTGGATTTCCAGATGGCTACATATTCTATCGTGAGTCTCAGGCTGCGTCCGAATCTGTTGTCTAGAGCTAGGTCTACCGGTAGGAGTCGCTCCATAGGAGATGCATTGAGACATCTAGACAGACCTACGGTAGCTGCAGCTCTGGAAGCCAGTTTTGGACATGGCCTGAGGTGCGGGCAGTCACCATGACTTTGAACCTCTTACATGATTGTATGATGAGCCCGCATGTTCATATGCACCGTACATGTACATAGGTTCATACGTAAACATTGTGTAATGCATGCATGAGAGCTAAGATGCTCAAAAGTTGGTACATGGACATGCTCATACATGTGTGAACCTCCTGCATTCTTTTTGAACCTCGGATTTCTTTACCTGTGCAGTACAAGTAAATTATCCATGAATCTCAGGAAGTTTTGGCCACAGACTGTGCACGAGTAGTTATTATGGCGTCGTAGCACTGCATGGATAAAAACGTACATGACCTGGGTAGTTAGCACGAAGTGTCTGTAACCAAGACCTCCGTAGACCTCACAGAAGGAATGCATGAACCTCTTTGCGAGCAGTTGAGGCACTATGAGGTGCTGCACATAATCAGTACACTGCGTTTTAATGAACAAATCGGTAGTTACAAGTGCCCTATCTTATTTGCAACTATACATTTGCGTTACAAAGAATAATAAGAGCCCTGGAAGTTAATTGAATGCAATTATGGAATGCACAAGTTGATTTGAGGTACGGTAAATATTGGCATACCGATTCCTCAAACAGCTTACTATACATGTAGTACTAATAGGTGCTGTGCATGTGAGATGAGCTATCCGATCACTTTAAATGTACATGTACATTGGACTGACCACAGCATGAAGTGTATGTGTACATAGAGTACCATTATATCACAGCGTTGCTAACCTCTCACACCTCGAGCATCTTTTAACTATTCCATTGACAGATATTTTACTTTTACATTTAACCTACTAACTACCTGTAGTGTGCTAATCTCTGATTTGTTACTGTCACATCCCACGATGCCTGGAAATTGTACTTGCATGGTGTACGTTTACTAGTGCAAGTACTAGCAACATGTAGAATTTGGGAAAGGCATTGTATTTGGCGAGTTATTGTATAAAATGTTTGTACATATAGGTGCACCTGTACATGTGGACAGTGGTTCTGACAAAATCTGTTTGGGCATGGCTATTTAAGTCCCCCTCCCCCCCGCGACTCATGGCACAACAAGCCTGCTAGTACAAATAGTCTCCTTGGAATCAAACAACCAAGAATACCCACAGTTCTGTTTCCTCTGAATGGTTTGTCAGTCCATTGGGGATGTTCACCTTAATACTGCCTTTGCTGTTGTCTGCCATGGATGGTGGGGTAGGTACATGTACCTGTGTAAGGGTTTATGTGCGCAGTTGAACACAGATAAAAAGAGCACTGTTAGTGCTCTAGGAGATCATGGGTATAACAAAGACAATCTTAGGTCCTACGTCTTTGTTTTTCTTTGTTTTTGATTTCTGATGATGGGTATAACAAGGACAATCTTATGTCCTAAGTCTTTATTTTTCTTTGTTTTCCTTACTAATGAGTATAACAAGGACAATCTTAGGTCCTACGTCTTTGTTTTTCTTTGTTTTCCTTTACTGATGAGTATAACAAGGACAATCTTAGGTCCTAAGTCTTTATTTTTCTTTGTTTTCCATTACTGATGATGGATATAACAAGGACAATCTTAGGTCCTACGTCTTTGTTTTTCTTTGTTTTCCATTACTGATGAGTATAACAAGGACAATCTTAGGTCCTACGTCTTTGTTTTTCTTTGTTTTCCTTTACTGATGAGTATAGCAATGACAATCTTAGGTCCTAAGTCTTTATTTTTCTTTGTTTTCCATTACTGATGATGGATATAACAAGGACAATCTTAGCTCCTAAGTCTTTATTTTTCTTTGTTTTCCATTATTGATGAGTATAACAAGGACAATCTTAGGTCCTAAGTCTTTATTTTTCTTTGTTTTCCATTACTGATGATGGATATAACAAGGACAATCTTAGCTCCTAAGTCTTTATTTTTCTTTGTTTTCCATTATTGATGAGTATAACAAGGACAATCTTAGGTCCTACGTCTTTGTTTTTCTTTGTTTTCCATTACTGATGAGTATAACAAGGACAATCTTAGGCCCTACGTCTTTGTTTTTCTTTGTTTTCCATTACTGATGATGAGTATAACAAGGACAATCTTAAGTCCTACGTCTTTGTTTTTCTTTGTTTTCCATTACTGATGATGAGTATAACAAGGACAATCTTAGGTCCTACGTCTTTGTTTTTCTTTGTTTTCCATTACTGATGATGGGTATAACAATGACAATCTTAGGTCCTAAGTATTTGGGGTTTTTTGTTCTCCATTACTGATGATTTGTATAACAAGAACAATCCTTGTCCTAAGTCTTTGTTTTCCATTACTGATGATACAAGGTAACTATTATAACAAGTGATTTTTCTAAAGTCCCAAGGACCATGTTATAATAGTGTTCCTCTGTACTCTCGCATACCTACATATTACATGTATACACAGTACGTGTAGACATATTGCTGACCTTGAATTTCTCGAGCAAAATCCGTAAATGCTAATCAGATGCTTACATGTACATCATATCATTACAAAGATTTTTTCTCCTTCAAAGTTATCTTAGTTTGCCATAAACGCTTCCAATTCCTTTTTAGTTTTGCTGCAAATTAATAAGTGGCTGAGAATTTACAAGGGAAGTGTTTACTACATATACATGCACTCGCTCGTGATCTGCTGTTCCCATGAAACCCAGGGGAAGTAAACCTGCTACAGAAGTTGGATGCATAAAGGCTAGATGAGGTCTTTGGGGAATTGTTAGTTCTTACATTTTCATGCAGTTGCATGGACCAGCTGAACCAAAAGTTAGAAATTACTTCTGAGAACAATATTTTGAAGATACCTGGCAACTTGCCTTGAAAATATGAGTAGTTGATGCCACACATTCCTGATCTTATTAAGTGAGATCTGATTTGTTGAAATCTGAATCCCTCTCCTTGAGTGCTCGGATAATACATGTACCAGACAGCTGTCAGCAGTGTATGCATCATGTTACCAGTTGAAGAAAATGAGAACGTCAAAGATGCAGAGAAGATTTGCCTTTTGACTCCGGCCAGGTTTTGTGGGCACAGGTCACAAGCTTGCCAACATGGTTACTGTAGCAATGCTGCAGAGGTTTGAACCGGCCACTCACAAGTGCCTGCACGAGTTCAGCCGCAGCTCCAATCACAACTCAAACAAGTTGAATTGCTACTCAAATCTCAAGTCAGCTCAAAAGTAACACGACTGCAAAGGAATGGAAAGTAATGCTTTTATGTGAACTCACTTGGACAGGTTGTGATGTAAGGCTCTACATGTAGGTAACTTGTAGTCGCAACTCTGTATGCATTTTAGTTCATTCTGTAAAGCCAAAATGTAGCACATACAAGCCAACATTTTCTTTGTTTATTTGCAACAACAGACAAAAAAATCTAAAGCCAGATAAACAGTCACCTTTCTTTCATTCAGTGCCTAAAGCGTCCTGGTTTGGTAGCCTAGCCCAGTGGGGACAATAATGCGTAATCATGCAGTGGAGATCTTTGAAACTGTACTTGCATGCTGCATCCGTTGTTGGGAACAGGTCAAGCTTCCTCCCTGATTGGACACGTCAGTTTAGCTACTAGATTGTAGAGGTCTCAAGAGGAGGAGACAAAACAAAGATTTTCAGTTACCTGATGCCTGGCATGCCCTGAATTTACCTGTAGCCGACTCCTGTGTTTTTCTAATCTTTCCCCTGTTCATGCTTGCATTTTACATGTGGAATAACACGACGGGTCTCATGTTTCTGTGAATTTCCTGTTTGTTTTATTCAACCCTGAATGTCCAGTCGCATGCCTGAGTAGAGTGAAAGTTCAGAGCGACAAGATGAAATTAACTTGTTTGCCTGAACCAACATACATTACATGTAGATGTTCCTGGTTGAAATCAAGGACAAATCCAGAACTCCAAATTTTTATTTTCATATAATAATGAGAGACGGGCAATTTTTGGGGGTCCATTTTATTTCCCTTCCTTCAAATAACAAGTAAAAAGCCCCTAAAGTGTAACCTCACCCCAAGAAAAGATTGCAATTCTTTTGGGCCCACCTCACCAAACAAGATCGGGACCCCCCTGGATCTGCCCGTGGTCACAATGAGAGAAAGATGAATGAATCGAAAATCCAGTATCTAACCAACAACCAGTCGTATGTTTACATCCTTCCTAATGTTGACACCTCTAGAATTATACAACAGTGCATGCCAGTAGGCTATTTCGAAAAGCACAGGAATTGGGCACTCTACTCAAAAGCCCATGGAACCTTAATACATGACACATTAAAAATGTGTGAAGTCAGAGCACTTTTTTGTGCAACGCAGATTTGACGTAAGCCCGTGCAGAACTCATCGTTGTCAAGCACATATATCTGATGATAAATAGAGTGCCATTGAGTCTGATTCCCACAAAATGAGTCTAAAGGCCGTGTTTAATTGTCCCAGATTGCATTATAAAGAGCAGACTGGGCTCCTTTGCTTTGATTCATCACTCGGTTTGGCGCCGTTATAAAAATTGCGTGCTGACAAATGTTGAGATTACCTGTGCTTCGTAAGACCTTTAGTTCTGGAGTGACTCTCGGAACTTCCGACCCATTTGGCCACATTTTTATAATTGTCTCATGGTGTCGATGCAAACCTAGCCACTTGTTACTGCGGACTTCACCAAGCAAGCTACATGAACATGTATTTGAGTTGATCTCTTCTGACATATTCTCTTCTCAGTTAGAGCATTAATTTATTTGTTGGGGTGCCTGCCTCTGGACCAAGATGCATTGCTAACCTGCCTTATACCCATTGGATAAATTATTTAAAATACATGTACACGCATTTCAAAAAGTTATGTACACAGGCAACAAGATTTGTGTGGAAAGTTAAATTGTGGAATAGTATGGTACATGGGTACCTTGTCAGTAATGCAACTTGTACAGCAGAAAGGTTGACGTTCTTGCTCACATTGTCCTCCGACATAACTGAAAATGTACATGTATTAAAGGAAATAGAGATTTGAGCTGCTGCTACAAATTTATGCGAGACCTTGTGACTCAGTTTTTGTGGTGAAGATATGACAGCCCCTCTTTGCCAAAAGTAAACATCAGATGAATTCTTACACTCACATTGCACTTTGTGTATAAGGCCAAATTCAAATAGTCACACTTCCATTCACATTCTGTTGCCTTTGTATTGTCAAATCTCTTCAGACCTTCCTTGAGTTAGTAATAGTGCGTACACCTTGCAAGCTTTTGAGTTGATTGCAGTTGATTTGTGTGATTTATGCAATTCTACAGAATAGACACCAGTCCTCACGTTCTCTGTTTATGTTTTGGCACAGATGTGTGGATAAACTTCTGAGCAATATTCTTCAGAAGTTGTGGGTCGATGTTTTTGTTGGAAGAAGTCTAAATGATGTCATTCTTGGTTTTGTTTGGTATAGACGAATGCCAACGTACGGAACAAGCCAATGACTAGTACGCCAATGGGTCGCACGCTGACCCCTGCTGATCGAAGGCTGTTGGTCAAAGGTGAATATCTGTGTGTGTCTAGATGGATGATTGCTTAGTGTGGGATGGGTATCATAATTTTCCAGTGTGGTTAATGGACGTTCTCAGTGGTGCGATTTCACTCGGCTTCTAAGTACATAAAGTTTTAGTTCTGGAAAAAAATTTCCATTAAAATTGCAGCTTAGATTTTATTTAATGATCACATCGTCATGGCCTGTAGGCCAAATTATGGGTATGTTTAAAACAGCAATTAAAACTTAAGTTAAACGCTTTAAAAACAGTTTTCACTACATTGAAAACACTGGAAAGCCAAAAGTTAATGCTAAAACACAGGGAAGTGAAAGTAAATTTAAAAATAAATATTTACCTAGGTTAAGCTAGCAAAGTTAAAATTAAAAGTTGTGATAAACTGTTTGATAGATAATTGTACAAGGTTTCACTGACCATGAAAGTCTGTGTATTGTTAAAAAGTAATTGACTAGTGGTTGAACAGTAGTTAATGCCTGAACCTGTCCTGAACTGGCACATACATGTACCTGTACACGCATGCTGGCTGGCTAGCTGGAATATTATATGGAAGTTTGGATGGTTGCATGTATCAGGCTTATCAGCTGGCTGTTAGCTACATGTGACTGGTTAACTGGTCAGTTACTCATAGCTGCTGTACATGTGCATAAAGCTGATTTGCTACTCAGTGCTTCTGTCAAACTATTCGGTTTTCTCTTCGTCGCAGTCATCAAAGCCAATGGATTACGTGAGAGGGACGGTACAAGCGCCAGCGACCCTTACTGCGTGGTGACCATTGACCAACCGAGCCAGAAGCACAAGACCAACATCATCCGCAATACGGTCAACCCGTTCTGGGACGAGCATTTCTTATTGTAAGCACTGCCCGCCAAACTCTTGATTTTTTGTTCTGGGCTGCAGACTTCATGGACATACCCTCTGTGGTAAAAAATGGGAAACAGTTCAGGGAGGACACCAAGCTGTCATTTCTGTCGTACAGTTGTTTTCATACAATCACAGGCCAGGGGGCAATGCCAAAGCACTGTGTAACAGTTGATTTCTTTACTAACGTAGCTGCCGTCATGGATAGCCTGAGCTGCCAACCTGTGCGATTTTATTGTATTTCATACAATTTTGCAGTGACGATATGACACTACAATTTTTCTCAATAAAATACGATTTCCAAAGAAAATAAGCTTTGTAGTTCTTTGAGAATTTTACCTATTGTTTGGCTTGAAAATTGACATTTTTCACCTGTTAATTTCGCACGGTAGCATCAGTCTTCGGCAATGTCGGAAATGCCATACAAATGCATGCAACACACATGACGTGGTGTCTATCCACGAGGCCCTCTATTGTCCATTGCTGCTTCATGTGTGCAGTTCATCTGTGCACCGTACGTAAACTATGGATGTATAAGCAAAATCAGTTTGGGGCCCAGACTATGCATCACGCTCCCTCAATCGTTCCGTGCAACAGTGAAAAATAAGATTTTTTTGGAAAACAGGATTTTTTAGATAAAATAATAAGATTTTGGTCAAGTGAGGTTGGCAGTTCTGATACCATAGAGCGGTCGACTCAGCAAAAGCAAGCAACATCAGAAGGAAAAGTTGCTTAAGTGGGTCACATGTACAAAAGAAATCTCCAGGCGTGTGAAACCTTTTGTGCATCCTTTTTACAAAATACATGTTGTGCTTCTGTAATAGCACGAGTTTCTGCCGTAGACAAATCCGGTAACTGCACCAACACTATCACTGGTCATTTGCAGTGGTTCCCGCCAATGGTGGTACCCGGTAGGTATCGTGATAACGATTACCTAGAGTCACTGTTTAATGACATTCTCCCTGCACACCTCATGCTTTCCGGCATCAAAGGGGGCCATTGGGGGATACCCAGTGATACTCTGCTGGATTTGTCTTTTGCAAGCGCAACTTTTCTGCTGGCTGTTGAGTAGCACCATGAAATTGGGCCCTTTACCTTATTGAATGGAAGAAAAATAAGAAAACAAGGGGAGAATGATCCTTCCGAGCTGCGCCTGCCCAGGGCCCAGTGTTATGGCTCTGCTCTCTCAGTGCTTCATAAGACTCTTGTTATCATATTGTTCAAGCTTGACAGGGTGCGGCAAGAGTGATACAGATCAAAGCCAAAATCATATTCTGAGACACGTATAGTTTGGTTGAAATAGCCAAAATGCCTGACAAAATGCTTGTTTGGTTGTTTGCAGTGAGCTGAACAATTACTCCAGTGAGCTGAGGTTCGAAGTCTTTGACAGGGACAGGATGCTGAGAGGTAAACTATGTTTTTTTCAACCTTGACGCACCGTAATAATGCCCATTTACACAAACGAGCGGTGATAGAACTCTATGGTTTTCTGTGGGCTGTTTAAACCAAGAGTTGACAAACTACGCATTAGGGCAATTAAGTGCGGTGCTTTTAACCTAAGTGATTGTGTAAACATACCATACCGTTCTGGCCAATCAGCAGTCTCGCTAGTGATAATCTCACAAAGTACCATACATGTACATATAGCAGGAACACTGTTGGAGCAAGGGTAGGCCCGTCTTTGTCATGCCTTCAATTATTCCTACCAGTATGTGCCGTTGGGCACCATTGATTTTGTGGGAAGTCCTTCCATGCTTCCCATAAAAATGTACGGTACCAGCGTGCATTGTAAATAGGCCTTAAGTTTAGTCGTCGTTTAGAGCAGGTATTTCCGAACACCTGCCATGCAATAAAGCGCTTTATGGTGCATTCATTTCTTTTCTGAGAAGCATACATGTATATGTATCAGTAGCGAACCAGCGTACATGACATAGAATTTTGGCTGGTAGCCGATGCTCATTATGTTCTGTGTTCAGCGTACCGAATGGGTGCCTGCGTCGTGTTTACGCGTAAATGTCAAATATTGTGTGCATTAGAAGGTACAAATATATCATTATCCTTCAATGCTTCCAATCGCTGCTTGTCAGTGTAAGAAGGCCTTAAGATTAGTCCATACTCCTGTATTTGCAGCGCTCATTCTCAAATCAAAAAAGTGCCCAGCATTTATTTCTATGCAGAGAAGCGTATCTGTGAAATCCATACGCTCGGGATCCAAATGTTGGGCTTGAATTTATCGAAGGAGGAACAGCTTGTAAAAAGTTGTTTTTAACCAATCGTGAGGTGATGTTCTGCTAGAGGCTTGCAGGGGTGTGAGAATTCAGCTCTTTAACTGATTTCATTTTTTTTTAGATGTTGACCCTGAATATCAGCTTTTTTGTAAACCTGGTCTCTACAAATGTATGGCAACTTCTTACATTTCAGCGTTTTGCTAGCTGTTTTCAGCTTTAATTTTTAAGTGTCCACGCACACCCCTGGGCTTGAAAGGACATTGACCTGGCATGTTTGTCCGTCATGTTTTGTATCATCTTAATTTGTTCAAAAGTGTTGCATGTAGCAGTCCTCGTATTTTGTACCCAGAGCTACCGCTACATGTGAATGGTACTTGGACAATTGAGCACAGACTTTAAGAGGTTAATTGCTCTCTGAATTTAAAAGTGCCCAATTTTTTGAATTTCTTTCAGTTTCCAACTCTAGGATATCAGTTTGATTCTATGGTAGCTTTATTAAATTTACTCCAACTTTTCTGTTGATCCCACCCCGTGAAAGGCATTCAGTTTGTCAACCGAAGTGAGTATCATTTGTGTAGACGACTTATTTTTTTCACGGTTTTTCTCTTTACCCACTTTTCTGTACTGTGTGTAGAAAGTTGGTTTGTTTTGTTTTTACAAAGCATCAGAAAGAAATTGTATAACTGTTGCTGTGATCTCTTACACTCTGTCAGTGTCCACCCTGAATTCTTGTTTTAAGAGACAAATTCTTTCTGAAACCCCTCTACGTGTATGTGATTTTGTAGTCACAGTTGGAGGGTTGGGCTGCCATATTTGTATGAAGAGGTTCCCACAGCAGTGTCCACTTGTTGCACAATTAGATGCAAGTCTGAAACTTTGTGTAGGTGTAGAGCAATGCATTAGCTCACTTACAAGCGAGATGTGAGAATGCCAGAGTACGGTTCTATGATACTAAAATTCTATTGCGATACTGCGCCTTGACAACAACAAAAGCCTGTTTGTGCCGCCAGACACCCGAATTTGCATGTGGCACATTCTGGTTTTTGTAGAGAACATGAGCTGGTAACTGCCAAAACGCAGCCCTACTGGCACCACCAAAATGTACGTCGGAGAGTAAATGTCTGGCTACATGCATACATACATGTACGCACTGGTTCGTTAGCATGTTCATAAAAAATGAACTCAGTTCACATGACGTTGTAAGTACCGTTCGCACGTGCGTCAGGTGCATGTAAGATTCCTATTGATGTAAAGCATCAGTACATCAGTACTCGTATGTACCAGTATGTACCAGCATGCACACATTTGAAAGAATATGTACATGTAGTACAAGCAATTGACTACTGTGGATTCCCATGTAAGTTTGATGACTTTTTGATCAATTGATTTTAAAGCTACATGTACAGAGAATTATGGGTCATGGGTAGGCCTTCACCAGGTTAAGGGGACACTTTCTTTTATTTGGCAAATTAGCGCCCAGTTGTGAGGACGTTCCTCTGTCCCCATAACGTTTTCAGTCCTCACAAAATACACGTACCGTACAGGTACATGTACATGTAGGTAAAATGTTGTGTGTTTGTCCCCACAACTAAGAAACAAGAGCTTGTGAACAGGTGTAAGCTAGGCCTTTTGATTTCAGTAACCTCCAAGACTTTGCTTTGAGAGGCAGTCAAAATTGGCCAAACACTCCCTAACTACTTGAGTGCATTTTGCACTATTTCTGTTGCTGATAGAGCATTTTATTCCAAACTCAAACCCAGCATGGTATTTTCTCAGGCCTGTTTGTAAAACACGTCAGCCTTTGTGTATGTATTACTCATTTCTATTCTTAATGTTGTTATCGGTAGAGCACATCTAGTGATGAGGTTTTCCCACAGTGTGTCTCCCTTGTCAGTTGTCGGGCACAAAAAATCAACCTTGTTCTTCACCTTTTTGCATGTTAGGCTGCAAAACTGTACACCAGTTACATCTGCGTGTATAAATTTCCTTGCTTGGCATTCTCTTGTATCTGTGGATTTTCATGTTGTCTGAAAAGATTCTCTGGAACCTGGTATATTGTACCTGTCCTTTTATAACAACGCATTCCTTCAAATATGAAATGCATGCCAGTAGTTCAGAACTACCGGTAGGAGTACATGCACTGTACAGCATAGGCTCTGGGTGCATTCTGGAGATAAGCCACAGATGCTGCTGAATGGTGCATCAAACTGCAAAACAGCTGCCCCGAGCTGAAGTGCACCCCCAATAGGGGAAAGAAAGACGGGTGGTTAGAAGCAGGTTCTTGAACATTCTGCTGCCATCTGTTCAGTCTTGCAGTGCAGCTTAGTGCACCGTTCGTACATGAATTTGTAATTTTCAGGTTTTAAAGTACGGTAGTACTTGAAAACTTGAATATTCCTCGGTTAAGGTTATAGAATGGTTTGACACAGAAGCCCCTGGGTGTTCATGTATGGGGGCAGTTGTAAGGTCCACATGAAATATGGCCCATTACCATCTGACCATCATGATTTGAAAGCCCCCTGTGAGTAAGATCAAGTCTCATGGTGAGCCTCAAATACCCACATGCATTGACTTTGGGCTTCCCAAGGTGGAACCTGGATGCATCCAGGCATCGGTCTCGATGCATTATTTAATCAGCAGGCCCTACATGTTCAGTAACATGACCCCATGTATATGTACATGTATACATACATGTCTGTGTATGCTTGGCACAAATACCTACACGCACGTGCACAGACATCAGAACGATTTGCCACGTGGTAGCCTTGATTCCAGAATTCGACCGCAAGAGAGATCAGAAGACGTAATGCAGCCTTGCTATCTTATCAAAGCATTTCGTTCAGTTTATTGAATTTAAGTCGGTGTGGCTGAGACGTAAAATACAACATATGGGTTCCCCACAACAGTTTTCTGAGGAACTACGGGACCTTTGAACTTCCCCAGCAAGCCGTCAATCAAAAGGTGCCGGCTAGTTTGGGAATGAGCCGTGCAACAGGCAGACAGATCATGGCAGAAATATGCCAACAATGCTTAGACTAGCCTCCTTTGCAGACTTACAAGCAGACAGACGCCGGTCTAATGATGCGCTGGCACATGTTCTCAGGTTAAGGTTTGTGTCTGGAACTGGCGTGGGCTAGTTGGAGCTGTTGTAACCTAAGCAATAGGATGGGAGTGTGTGTACATATGTACATGTAAATTGTGTCCGTGTAGGATCAGTATTTTTGTACCAATATTTGGGGCAGGGCAAGGAGAAAGGGGGGGGGTCTTGACATCACTGACCCGAAGTTGCCATGTTTATGATAATTGTTTCCTGGTATTGATTTTTGTCTTTGCCTTTACAAGAAATAAGCAGTGAACCCAACCATCAGCAATCCCCAAGTAAAAACTTCAAAAATGAAGCCCTCTTTCATACTTATTCTTGAAAAAAAAATTGGGAAATTGGCAGACAGTCTTGACTTCAAATACAGTAGGTCACAAGCAGCTGTTGACCAAGAAGAGATAGAGTTTGGGCTTGGTGGGTTGGTCACTTGGGCTCACCCGAGTAAGCACTTGATGCCACGTGAGTGTCAAATTGAACACTGGCGTGGTTGCACAAGTAGGCATAGGCAAAGGAATCAAACCCACTGTGAGAAACCTTGGCTGGTTGCCTGTGTTGCTGAGCAAGTATTTCTGGTGCTTAGCAGATTTGTCTGCTGTAGCAGCAGCTCTACAAAGCGAATTGAATTGGTGCCAAGTGTGTGGATTGTCAACACATCCACCACGCATTTGGTGTTGTTAAGCTAGTCCCTCCAGCCTTATAACTTCAGAGTGGGGAAACTAGGCTCAAACATTGAGCAGACTTTATCAGCTTCTACGAGTAGTTTTATCTTTTGTAAAGGTTGGTGGAGTTGTCATTTACATAGTGGTGTCCAGTTTTCTTCTGACAATGGAAGTACACCTGCCTGATCCCTGACCGTAACTGTACCCCTGTTGCAGTCACCCCCAATCGTTAATGTGAATGTTGCATAAATTAAGAGGCTTCAGGGTATGTTATGGCTTTGACAATTTTTTTTGACTCCGCATTTATTTCCTCATTGCAATGTATACATCAAATTATGCACAAGGTCAATAAATGAAAGATTTTTGACCTCAAATAAATAAGACCACGAGACATTGAAATAAAAGGGGGCAAATACAGAGGCACATTCAGAAGACCAAGTCTTATGCAGAAATGCGTTATTTCAACAAGAAAAAAGAACCAGACAAGGAAGACTGACAACAGATTATACATGAAAGAAAGACAATGGCAGTACAATACAGTCCAAACAAAACACGGACATTGATAAGGTCCTGTTTGTCTTTTCTTTCCAGACGAGTTTCTTGGGGAGGCAGTGATTTGTCTGGACTCGCTGGAGCGTAACCCGAGCAGCCGACAGATCATCCCCCTGCAGGGCCGGTTGAGCGAGAGTGATAACATCAAGGGATCCCTCACGGTGGAGGTGAGAGGAAAGAGCAAAGTGAAATGTTAGACGTGCTGATTGATTCAGACAAGGCTAACAAACATCCAGGGATTGCTCATCAAGTGCAGGGCCCAACTTGAGAAATCTGTCAATAGAGGTGTCTCTGTCAGTGCCATCACTCTTATGCACCTGTCAGTTGGTTTTTCCCCACCCTTCTTCCCAGTATGCCCCTGGTCTTACGGGGGGGGGGGTTGCACGCCCCTTGTGGGATTTTTGTTTCACATGTTTATCTGTGGCATAATACATGGAGGAGTTGCCTCATGGGTGGGTATGTACTGGCATCATTTCACGGAGACAAATGCCACATCTAAGGCAAGGGTGTATCCAAAACTAAATTCCTTTTTGGGGGGCTGGGCCAAAACTTTTGAAGTTTTTTTCATGTAACCTTTTATGGCCTGTTTGAAGGTCGAGGCTATCTGGTACATTTTAAGGCTTTACATTTTGACCACCCACAAATGGCTTGTCATATTTAAAAAGAAAAAGTTTGGCACTTGGGGGGGATGTGGCTTCTGTGCCCTCCTCCCATCCACTTTCTGTCAGGGGTGGGCAACCAAGGAGGGGGGGATAGGGGCAATACATGCGCTTGACAGACCAGTGTAAAGTTTGCGCAATCTTCATATAAACCCATACAATATAGGCTGTAGGGCCGATTTTCCCAGTTTCTTTGAAAATCTACATGGACTGGGAGGAACTCAAAGAATTATTGGGATTGGGGAAGGTACAGAGCTCCATCTAAATACACAGAGATTGTTTTCAAGATGTATTTTTTTTTTTTTTTTTTTTTTGCGTTGGGGAGATGTTGATTATATATAATGGTTTTGCCCTTACCCGACGTATATTAATAAGCACTGTATGCTCAGTGCTTGTCCGAGAGCTTGCGAAAAAAACCTCACAAGCTTACTCGGGTACTAGTGTAGATGTCTTAACCACTCGACCACCGAGCTTGCCAGGGTCGGCTGGCCGGTCCGAGTCAAATGAAGCAGCGGGTACACATGTATTTGCTACTTGGTTTCTGCACAGTGGGTAGTTTTACAGGCTTCAGGAACGTTGCTTTGTACTCTAGCCAAAAAAAATGGTGAGGAAGTTACAGTCAGTAGGCCAGATAGCATGGCTTGCGGCAAGGCTGACGTCCACAGAAGTCACTGTCTGCAGCTCAGTCTGTTGGGACTCCTGATGTAATAGTACCTTGCTGGTCTCTTGTACACTGTGATTTATGGGGATGGCAGTGTTGGAAATGGGACCACTCACGGTTAGTTCGTCACTAATAGATTGACCCAGCAGGAATTTTGTTAAGGTCAGTGCGGCTGATAATTCTTACATGTACTGTGGGACACATCTGAACCATCCCTGGACCTTCAGCATACACTGTGGGACACATCCCTGGACCTTCAACATTTAACCCAGTCACTTTACTAATATCAGTCTCATCTGCTGCAAGAAATTCTCGACACACTTCCAGCAAATTCACAATTTGTCATATCGTGTCTTCAATACTGGAATTCTGTTAGTTCACCGTCCAGACTGTTTTTACGTTGTTCTTTGCCTGTGTGCAACGGCACTTTACTGTGTAATATATCCACCATCAGATGGCGTTCACACGTACAGAATGCAGATCCCAGACACGGTCCAGTCCATCAGCCCGACTTCCCCCAAAAATCTCAGAGAAACTTTAATTTGCCCATGCGCTGTCGGATCTACATGTACCCTTGCACTGATGTGCTTACACATACCAAAACAGTAGGGTAGGCATTCACCGCTTTCAGGGAACAAGTTCTTTTGTTAGGGACATTTGAACCGATTTGTGGGGACATTTCTGAGTCCCCACAAAATAAGTGAAATGTCCCCACAACTACGGTGCAGGAGTGCGTGCGCTCACAGCATGATAAGTAACGGCCAGAAATTGGATTATACTTTTGTCTTTCTGGAACAGCCATCAGTCCACTTGTTAAAAATAAACGTTACATCCTTTTGGTCGCTGAACTGCTGTCTTTGGGTGTTATTTGGGTAGCATATCAGCTCGTGAGAAGCTGCAGAAGGTGTACATTTACTGTACTTTCTGATTGCTTTTTGACTGCTGCCAAATATTGTAACGAACCCAGCAAGCCCAGCAAGCTGACCCGAGCGAGTGAGCCCGTGGCCACAAGGAACACCTGAGCGTTCACAGAAACCAAGACAGAAATGGTAATGCATAGCACGAGACATGGACAAGTGAATTCCAAAGCCCCACAAATAATACTCGGGAGGAAAGGTAGATTTCTGGGGCACCTTCCACATTTTATTTTATGCGAAGCAAATCAGGTAAATTTATACAAGGATGAATTTCATCAGATTTGCACCGTCCCCGGTCTTTGATTTCATGAGGTACATGTAAGTGTAAGTGTGGCGTAGGTTTGTCCATACCAAACCATAGTAATACCTGTACATATATGTACATGGTGTATATGTGTACATAATGTATCTTACAGTAAAGTACATGTACATACACATGTAATTGGCACGTGTGCATTCTATGTAGAGTTTGATAGAACAGACTGTGCATGTACAATGTACTGGTACTTTACCTTTGCAAACTTATTCCAGTCACACAATGTTCATGTATTTTTGGGTCATTTTGTAAATTTGGGGTCCAATATGTGACATTTTTCTGTCCCAGTTTCACCTGGTACTGATATGTATTCAGATACTGTACTTTGACCTGGAATGTAGATGTACATGTAAATGTTTCACTGAAATTGATTTCAAACTACTTGTACATGTATGTTTATTTGTTCGGCAGGTCATGTGCAGTACTTCTTCAATCTTGGCAATTGAAAAAATGAGTTCTGAACATTAAAAAATCATTGGCCACATGTAACAGGGACGGGGAAATACATGTAATTGACTTTCAAATTTATAAATTGCCCCTTTTCCAATCATCTGTTTTTTGAGCGGTTTTGAAGAAAGACAGCAAAATGATTTGAAAATAAGTATGATCTGATTTGATGGCTGTACTGCTTTCGAACAAACGCTTTTATGGTTGGTCGGGAAACACAACATTCTTTTTTGTGGCCCAAGCATTGGGCATTCCTCCGACTAAAAGATATCTAGGGATCGTCTTGATCAGGCCTCGTACGTACATTATGTGCAGATGTCTGTGCTGTGTTTCACTTCAGCTGACAAAGACATAGGCATAGTTTTCATATCAATAGGTCAACAGTCGGCAGCAAAGCATGCCACCGTGTACATGTACACGTAATCCAGTAGGCTTAAGGTTTAGCCGAGTCGTATCAAAGAAGGGATGACGCATTGGGCACTCGGGGACAACTCCAACCTCCAGTTCGTCGATGATCAGCATCCCTGTGCTTCAAAATTTGTGCAAATTGTGAGCATTCCTGGTACATGTACGAGCGGTGATGCTTCGGGGACAAGTTGTTCAGTTCACGGTTCCACGCAGGAGCGATGACAGGCGCGTACAGGTACCGGTACATGTGCATGTGCGGTAGTGTTCTCGGGTGACCGGTGTTTCTCTGGGCCAAATGTTTTTGCTGATGCAAATTTGACCGGTAGAGGGCAGTGACACTCCTGAAATGTATAATCGCTGGCAGGGTACCGAGGACGCTTGAGTTGGGGAACGTACTCTGACATTATACACTTGATGTTACCACAGGACGATTGGCTGTGACAACACACAGCTAGAGCGTGATGAGTTGTTGGAGCCCAAATCTTAAGAACAGTTTTGCTGGCTGCTGGGTTCCAATTTCATGGGGTTTCTAAATGGGAAAGCATGATACAGATGTAATTAGTGCTTAGTGGAAAAGCAGTCCAGACTCCATACAGTAACTGTGGATGGTGAAGGCATGATTTGAAGGTCACTCTGACTGACACAAATATCTTTATTTAGACTGCTCCATGAGGTTTGATCCCAGCTACAAGCTAAGGCATCTGTCTTGTATACAGTATACCTGTCAAATCAAATTAGCTCTTGGACACCACTCTACATATATGTATACATGCAGCTTTATTTGTATGTACAATGTAGGTACATGTACATGTACTTGTATGTACCAGGTAAATTGTCTCCAATGAATCTTCTTGGGAGAAAAAACTGTTAACTGTGTTAATGGGTGTAATTCAGTTCTGTGTATCATTTTGCACTTCACTTTTAACGACATGTTTGTGTACGTGTACATTGTAATATGATTCGACCATTTGCTAAATTGTTTTGTTTGTGACTATTAAGTCCAGTGAAGTTTGAAGATGTATGTGAAGGGTGCATGGAATTTGAACAAATCTAGCTTTTTGGAGGGAGGTCAGTTTTCAAACTGGACCAGAATTTCAATGATGACCATGAAGTGTAGAAATCCAGGAAAAGGGGAGCTTGTGATCGATCACAAACATGTGCCAGTATGTCACCCGAACGTTATGGTGTGCTTTCTCACTAGACCTTTTTCAATCTTGGGGTTGACGCAGGGTTGAAAACTAGCGACAATTCACACTTCAAACTTTTCAACCCCGCACCAACCCCTGAGATAAATTTGGACTCTGGCTGAACTCAACCCTGTTCCTTACCAGGATTGAGATTTTTTGACCCGACCTCACTACACTTTATGAATTCCTTTTGAATGTACATGTACTTCTGTTGCCTCCCTAGTTCGTGTTCTCATTGTCGCCTGAGGAGACTGAGTCCGAAATGTTGAAGAGGGTGAGAAAATCCAATCGCAAAAAACAAGTAGCATTTGCCGAGATTCATTGTTTGTCTTAAAGATGCATTTCAGCTATATGTAGATGTGTACAAACATCATGCTGCTGCATATCACACTACAGCAAAGTCCTTTTCTGAGTCAAGCAAACCTCATTATGGTCTTGTGTCAGATCTTGTGAATGGTCTTGTGACTGGTCTTTTGATATGACTTGTCTGGTGACTGGTCTTGTAGGTGGTCTTGTGACTGGTCTTCTGGTCTTGCAAATGATCTTGTGAAAGGTCTTGTGACTGGTCTTGGGTGTGGTCTTGCAGATGATCTTGTGATGGTCTTGACCGCAACATTGGCATTGACTTGAGTTCTTTGAATAGGAATGTGAGGTTATGAACACAGCTGGATGCAGGAATGTCACGGTAATTGGTTCAAATCTTTTTACCGGTACGTTGAAATTGACTCATGGCCAGTTCGTTTCACATGGATCCTGAGCTCGATCAGTGATCCTAAAGCTGGTTCGCTCCATCCATTCCGCGGGTTCTGATGTAAGGGAAGCAACGAGGGATCACTGGTTGTGGTTCAGATCCATGTGAAACAAACAAACACAACTCAACAAACAAACCCAACTGCAGTCTGAGTCCATCTGGTAATACGCTTGCACATTCTCAGCAAAGACGTACAGATTAATGTACCCTCAAATGGGCCACATCAGAATTGCCTGGCTGCGGCTGGAACCCGCCCACAAGTCTGTTGGTAATGGATGAAGCTGCTGGCTGGTGGCCTGCATGTACAGGACATTGCAGTTAAAAGTTCACATTTCACAAGGTTTGATAATATTTTCCTGCACATGTGAAAGGGTTTCAAAATGTTTACCACTTGTGTGAAAAGTCGTGGGAATGTTCTCCCATTGCAGTGTGGGAACTTGTTTTCACATTTTGTGAAATGAAAATAAATTCCTTTGGAAGAGAAAAAAATGTAAAGAGAAATTCCCATTCCCAAATCAACTTTCGGTTACAATGTACGGTACGGTGCCCAGACGCAAAACAAGTAATTTAGATGTGGCCATAGTCAGAGTCCAGGTCCCAGTCCTATTCAGAGCGTGATCACTCAGCCGTCTTGTCTTCCAGGCTTGATATCCTGCTGCGTTGTAGTATATTGCTGTAGACAGAAAGGGATTCAACTGCAGTATTTTTTTATAAACTACCAAAGGCGGATCCAGAACCGGTTTATTTTGGGGAGGGGGCATCAAATTTTGAACTGTTTTCATGGAATCTTTTAAAGCCTTTCTTAGGAGTGAGGCTGTTATTTGGGGAAGGAAGGGAAATGAAAAGTCCCCCGAAATTGCCTCTCGTGATATTCCCCCTCCCCAATTACATTGTGCCTAGGGGGAGGGGAGGGGTGACACCCATTGGGTCCCCTGGGATCCACCAAAGGACACTGCATGGGGTGTTGCAGGATTATTGCTGTTAGTGGGGTTCCCAGGCCCTCTGGCTAACTTAGATTGCGCTTTGGCCATTTTCATTCAGTTCATGTTGTTTTCTCAGACATGGTTTCCATTTCATTCTAGTAAACAAGTGCAGACAGATGGTACATTTAACGTTCATGATGGTATGCATGTAGGTACCACGTCCCTTAATTTGCCACTTACTGTGAACACCAATCAGGTTTGACAATACTGGTAGGTGGTAAACTTAGGGACCTGGTGACTATACCGTCATGGACGTTAGGTTTGGTGGTGGAATGCCATAGCAGCTTCTGATACTGCGTTTTAGCTCAAATGGAGTAAATCATATGTGCAGTTTCAGTAATCTAACTGGGGGATTGCAGAGTTTATGCTTCTCCATCCAAGCTGAAGTGCGCCCCCATCGGCAAAGATATAGGCCGGTGGGAATTTCTCCTATTGGGGTTGTGCACGGGCCCAGCTCACCCGCGAAGACTGTTCAATCAAAAAATGTTTAAAGCCGACTTCATTCTTGACTTTATACCAAAAGGCAAGATATAAATTTAGTGGCAAACGTTTGATATGCAGCCTATCGCCATGGAGAATGATTCACAAAAGTCAGATAAACAGTATTTGTGCAATATTTCTCATTGCAACCTCATATTTGTTGGTCATTTTGGGGCATACACATGGTGCGATAGTTCCTACCACAACCGGTCTTGAACAGCTTCCAAGTCTGAAGTCAACACTGGGTCTAGTCTCCATTAATAGACTTCACAGACCTTTTGTGTTTGCGCATAATGGATGGGGGTGTTTGTGTGTTTAGACACCAGCGGGAGATGAGTCGAGGCACGCTTGGCGCTTTTACCTGTCAGACATGCCGTTGTACAGAGAGAGACAGATCATGGTTACAAGTGCTCCGGTGCAAAAAATAATTACATCATTCTGGCAAATGTGTCAGTGCCAACTTGCATCCCTACTCTGTCTCTCCATCAGTTTTGTTGGTGTGGGGTTCTTTGCATGATAGTCTGTAGTGGTTGAGGGTTTCAGATATTTGGTATTTACATCAACCTATTTATGTCCATTGTTCTTGCTTCTGAAGTGAAACCTTAAATCCTTTTCCAATTTGGAAAACAGTAAAGTCATCAAACGTATTCCTAACTTGGTAATCAGACAAAGTGATACCATTGAGAAAGTGCGTTTCCCCCAAAAACTCAAGTAATGTACTCTACTCAAAAAAGTTAAGGATCACTTTTGGTTTTTTGTATACTTTGTATATGAGATGTTTTACTGCTGAAAATGTGCATTTGATGTTTTGAAACGTTTTTAATTTTTTTATTCCAATGAGAACACCATCTAGACAAGCAAAAGATGAAAGAACTAGAGCCCACTCATTGCTTCGAAGAAAATTACAAGTAAAAAAAGTGGTCCTTAACTTTTTTTGAGGAATATATTTTAATGAAGGTGCTTTAGTTTGCCCAAGCATGATTATGAAAACACCAGTAATTTTACTTGCGTTTATTTAAAGCGGATAATTGTTGATGATAAAATTTTATTTTTTGTGTGGCCGACTTTTTATAATTCTTACTCGTGCGATTTGCCGCAAGACCTCATTTCTCTTTCAAGGGAGCCACAAAGGAATACAAATTACTGATGGCTCAGTTTCCAGCCTTTGCATCAAAGACGATGCATCTTTTGACGTTAAAATCAAGAGGAACCAGCGTTGAGTTTTTACCGTGATTTCCCATCAAGACAGTTGCCAGCTGTTGTTTTGGAGCCAGGGTTGTATCTGCATCTGCCATCATCTGCTATATAAACTTGCTTATAATGACCAATTTATTCATATTCAGAAGTTTGGATTTTTTTTTTTTTTCGTTTTTTTTGCTCGATTCAGTTAATTACTCCATGTGTGGTTATTGCTTGATAATGTGAGCGATTTATTTTGCACCTGAGTATGCAAATTTCCTTCCAAGTCCCAGACAGCCTGTGCAGTACCATTGCCATTCAGGGAGGTGACACACCTTGATTTGTTAACCTTCGACCAAGCAAAATGTTGCAGTGAGTTTTAGAGCGATAGACTTTCGTGCCACGGGTATATCCAACACTCAGTACTGTAGCACGAGGAAAAAATCTTACTGTACAGTTTGTGCATGTATGGACACTAAACGATGTCTAGAAAGTGTTTGTAGCTTAAGAACGTTTTTGCTGACGGTGTAAGGTACTTTCATGCCCTTAAAAAAGAGACCTTTTAATTTCACAAAGTGGTTCCCCAAAATACTGAATGCCGACCTAACAATGTGGTTTTGCAGCTCCGTACAGGTTTGTAATTACACACAAGTACCAATGTA